AAGAAGCCCTATGTTAACAGTGTCCAGAAGCTCCATCGAATTCTCTGGGCTCAGAGGTATTAGGGATGAATGGACGTATTTGGGGACAAATGGATGCTGTGTGCTCCGGACCGAAGAAGAAAAGATCATCCAGACTGTTACCAGCAACAAGTGCAAAAGAGAGGGTCTGGCTGAGGAAGAGGATACAGTTACTTGACTGGCCTGCCCGCAGTCCTGACCTGTCTCCAATAGAGAATGTGTGGCTCATTTTGAATCGTAAAATACAACAACACAAACCACGTACTGTTGCCCACCTTAAGGCTTGTGTGCTGGTAGAATGGGACAAAATTACACCTGAACACATCATCACCTGGTGTCTTCATTCCGTTACTGCCTTTTAAGTGCTGTGAAAAGGAATGGCGACATTACAAAAGTGGTAAATGCTTTATTGCTACAACTTTTTTTTTTTAAATGTGTTGCAGGAACCAAAACTGGAATATGTGTTTATTTTGAGGGGGAAAAAACAACAGTAAAAATTGTGGGTAACACATTAAATAATATGCTGTTGTGTTGTCTGCAATGAAATACAAGTCAAAGTAAATTTAGAAATCACTTCTTTCTTTTTATTTGTGTTTGTCACACTGTCCCAACTTTTTCTGATCACAACTTTTTCTGATTTGGGGTTGTAAATACACACCATAAAGTATTGCATTTCATATATAGACCAAGAATCAATTCATAGCATATGATAACGACTCTATTGAAGGATCACAGTGAAGCTCCAAAACATTCGTTAATTGTAAATTAAAATCTATATTATTTACTAATATCCTTCAAACCACAATGTTTTACCTACTGTTCAGCTTTAATCATGTTGTAGAATATAGCTAAATTTAGTCAAACAACAAATCGCAGTAAATGCTTTTGTTTGTTTTTTTAAGACAAAATTATTAATCCTTTTGTTAATCAAGTATTTAAGAGATGTGACTGCTTGAAGGTGTAAATTAGCACTTTGCTATAACCTGACACCATGAATCCTTGTCCAAGATAAACTAAATGATGAATAAAGATGAGAAACTTTAATTATTTTTCAAATATTTCTCAAATGCCGTTAAAGAGATTTTGTCCAACAATTTTTTAAACAGTTTAAATGGTTGATCATGTCTATTAATTCATTTTTTGTGTCTTTGCCATAAAGATATAATATTTTAGTAGTTATTTTGCTAGCCGCATGCTAATTTCTACTGGAAACATGCTAGCAACGTGCTAATTCATGCTAATAAGCAAAGTCATACATTTATTAATTTTCCTTCAGCTTATTCCCTTTATTTATCAGGGGTCGCCACCGCAGAATGAACCACCAACTTATCTAGCTTATGTTTCATGCAGTGCATGCCCCTCCTGCTGCAACCCAGTACTGAGAACCCCCCATACGATCCTATTCACACACATACACTACAGAACATTTTGTTTACTTAATTCACCTATAGCGCATGTGTTTAGACTGTGCGGGAAATCGAAGCACCTGGTGGCAATATGCAAAGTCCACATGCCAACTGACCCATTAAGGCGACAGCGATGCCCACTGCGCCACCCTTCTATCTGTCCATACTTTTTCTATCCCACACGTTTTAATTTCTTTACAATAACTATTTAGCTGAAACAGTTGAATTGTAAAAATAAAACCTCATATAAATTATTCTTGGACCGTTAACTCTAATTGTGAACTCTCCGAAAGACTTAGCACCACATTGCATTTTGTTTTAATAAATCAATAGCTAGTTAGATTTTGTTTGTTGTTTAAATTATAGGTTAGTTTGGTATTTTTATTTTAACCTTTTTTTTTCAGTTCATCACGATGAAGAATGTAAGTATCTGTGTAATGTGACCTAATAATAATAGCCTCTAGTTTCTAAATCTCACTGTCAGTAAATAAAACATAAAAAAACAAATATTTTTAATTGAACATTAACTATAAACCGATAAATGAGAAAGTAACTTCTGACCGAGTATTCAGAATGGAAAGCCTTGTATAATGAAGGGGTTTTGAAACCTCATATTGTGTATTATTAGTGCACCTGTTCCACATGCATTGGGTTTGCATGTCTGTATTGGCCATCGCTGGTGATTTGTCGCCCCCTAGTGTTCTGAGGTCTCATTTGCTCTCCTTGCATAAAAACGACCTTACCTTAAAATCACACTTATGACAAAATACCAATTGGTTTCTTCACTTTCAGTTGTGTTAATGGGTGACAAATGAAAGGGGGTTGGGGGTCATAAAGTTTTGGCAAGAAAGAGGAAATAGAAAGTGTGTAATAATACTTTCTGCATACATTGATTTTGATCATAGTTTTGAAGTTTGTTATGGGGAAGTTACAGTGTGGACATGTGAAGGAGCTGATGATGATCTCTTTGAAGAGATTTTAGTAGATGTGTGCTTCCCTGGAAAGTATAAATTACATTTGTTGAAATTAAATGTATAAGAAACAACTAATGGACATAAATAATGGAACCTTACTGTACCATTTTTTGTTGTCTTGAAAGCATGAGTGACTGAGGAATGGTTATTGCATCAGAGATGTGTTTGCTAACAGGCGCTATGAATTTAGTCCGAGATCTTGCCTAATATTACAGTTTTCTAGTTTAGCTGTGAAGCATGCAGTAGTACGACAGGGTTTTAGTGCCACATTAAAAAAGATAAAGTTATGAAAACAGTCAAAATATTTTGATAACAAAGTCGAAATTTCAAAATAAAGTTGAAATTTAACGAGAAAAGTCCAAATGTTACAAGAATGAAGTTTAAAATTTACGAGAATAAAAATGGCAATATTACAAGAATTAAGTCCGAGTAGGGCTCGCAAAATCTGGAAGCCCAAAGTCCTGTGGCTTTTTTTTCAGTCAGGCTACCAAAATCTATCCACAGTAGTCAACATTTAACTCTTTAATTGACAAATTCACAAATAATGCTTTGGTGAAAAAAAACACACACAAAATTGCATATTTTCAATATAAAAAGTAATTGTGGACTGGATGTCTTGGACATGTGAAATAACATTGCCTTTAATGTGCTGTTTTTGATTGATGTTAATTTTTTTCTCCCTAATTTACTGTTAGTGGCTGTTTTTACCCCATTGACTTCCATTATAACCACATTTTTTTAACACAAAACCATGACACCATATAATCATGCAATCTTGATTTGACATGATCCAGAATCAATTCGGTCTCCAAAACTCATCCAAGAGTGATAGTAACCATTCTGTCAGCTCAAACCTGCTCAGGAGCAGGTTTATTTATATAAACAGGATTAGATAGACTCATTTCAAGCAAAGGTAATACTGAAAGTATGCACTGAATGCTGATATTTTTTTACAGTAGTAACCTATAGATTAGATACGCTTGGGGAAAAAAATTAAATAGTAAATTTTTTTTAAAAAGTTTATATATGTTAATATAAATATAAATTATATATACATATATATACATATATATATATATATATATATATAAAATACATATACATATATATATATATATATATATATATATATATATATATATAATACATATACTACACACACACACACACATTTATAATATTTAATATGAAATAATTTATAATATTTAATACATATATGTTTCATAAAATTTAAATCAAATAAAACAAGGGGATCAAGGACTCCATTTGTTAATATGGATTTTTTATACAAATGTACTATTTAAACGTACCAATCTAGCTTTAGTACAATTTGTGTATGATAATAGACATGCACACTATTCAACAGTTTTTTTTTTTTTTTTTTTTTATAAAGAAATAATCATTTCTGCAGTCGTGCACATTTTGACAGATAATATGCCAGTGTTTTGATGCTTTGCAAAAGTTGAAGACGCCTTTACCAATATCAAAATGCTTTTTAATGCAAAATGTATTTAAATTCCTAACACCGATTAAGAAACTAAAATAGGCCTAGGCTACTATAGTAAAAAAAATCCTCTCTAAATGTTAAAACTCAGCTCACAAAAAAATTGGAAAGTGACTCCCTATCATATCTAACAAAGCGTTTATTATAAATGTAATATCATTTCGCTCGCATGGATAATTGAATATTAAACAGATGATGTCATTACACTGCTGTACCATCAGCCAATCATTGATGATGATTTAAAGGATCGATAGATCTGTCCTTCACAACACATGCAGTAATCTCAGATCAGTTCATCCAGACATTTTTATCTGATTCGTGAATCGTGTAAGTTTGATTCGTGTAAGTTTAAATAACTAAATTAGCCAGACATCATTTATCAAGATTAAAAGATCCAAAATCTGCCAAATCATCTTTGATAATTTAACTGAAATACAAAGAGTGGACCCCAGCTCTCAGAACTATATAGAGTAAACAAAAACTAAGATTGTGTATTTATGCACCATCAAATGTGGTTAGAATTGACATCAATGAGGCAAAAACAGCCACCAACAGTAAATTAGGCAGAAAAAGGTTGTTACTAATCGTTCACATGTCCAAGACTTTAATAAAACGTTTTAATTAATCCAGTCCACAATTACTTTATATTGAAAATACGTCATTTTGTGTGTTTATTTTCACCAAATCAGTAACATCATTTGTAAACTTGGCAATCAAAAAGTTAAAATTCTGTAATTTTCTTATTAATGAACTGAGGTTGACTAACAGATTTATGTAAAAAAATAAGCTATGAAAATATTTATCTGATGCATTTTTACAGCGGTTTAATTCAGTGGATGTTTTCATCCCCAACATTAAAAGGGTAGTCAATTTGAACAGAGCACAAGGGTTAAACAAACTCGGCTAAGCAGAATCAACACTATTTTAAACCCAAAAGGGGTCTCAATTTATTGTCACTCTTATTGCTGTTTAAATAGTGTTTCTACTTCAATTATAATGTTTAAATTCAGTACTATGGTCTTCCCATATATACATTACATCATTTTAGTTCGCCTGTTAAATATGTTTGAACAATAAAAACAACATGGAAACGATATGTAACAACATAAACCAAATGTTATACGAGTTTAATGGATGAAGATGCAGAGAGAACTATTTTTAGGAAACTTTAAAAGCAAATTAGGTTTAAAATCTTTAATTATAATAATATAATCTTGGAATAAAGCAGCAAAAAGATACAGGGAGTCTAAACAGTTTCATTCAGTCTAAGGCTAGACGAAGCGCTCAATGCGATATGTACTTGTGTGATATAAGCAATACAACGTCACAAGTTATATCAGCAATATAACCATGGAATGTCATCTCCGAACTAAAGTTATGTTAGTAACATCACGTCTGCTTTATGCAAATTTACATCCTCCGAGTCATTTTAATCACACGCATACTATTAGCACAGCTGTTTTTTTTCCAGTGACAGGTTGCAATGGATAATCTTCAGATTAAAACAAACCCAGAGTGACTTTAGGAAAACGAGCGTACAAATCGATTATAAAACCGAACGATTTCCAAACTGGGAAATCATTTTCAGAAAAGTTTTGTGTGAAACTTTTAGTCCCGTCTTGCCAAAGTTGATCTCGTTTTATAGGCGTAAAGGAGGCACTGGCATGGTGACGTCGCGGAAAAACCGATGAACAAGAGCGTTCTTTGCCGAGATCCTCTTGTTTGGATCATAGGTCAACATTTGCTGTGGAAAAAAAAATAAAGCAGATGTTAAATACTGGAAATATTTCAGAAAACTAATTATGTAGAATTATTTTTGGTGCGGCCAATAACAAAAACAACTTCAAATGTAAACTGAATTTGTTTATCGTAATATCTCTAGGGCCCTTAAACGTCTTGTGGAACTGGCATTTTAAATTCGATGTTCGATCTAATCTTAACTGAAACATTAAGAGAGGGTGGGACATAAAGTAGCTCCCCCCCTTTAAAAAAAACAGCCAGTAGCGTTTGGTTTTTATTACAGCTCTGCCTGTGAGGGTGGTTGAGCTCAAGCCCATCAAATGAAAAGCAAATGAAAAGTGGGTGGGGCTGGTCAGACACTAGAGTATCAACACCATGAGAAACTGAAGTGTGACGTGATGTCAAAAACGTAGATTCATTTAAGCAGGAGTGACAAAAAGCTCACTGTTTTATAGCACACTAGATTTTAAACATCCTTAAGACTAACATGGTCATACTAACATCTAAGATAATTTTATTTTAATTTCGTGGGACCTTTAAGGCCAGGACACACCAATCTGATTTCATTATCATTCAATTCAGTAGTCTGTGATAATGAACGTGACATAGTTCACTGACAAGTTTTACAATGTGTAGTAGCTGGAGATTTACTACCGAGTACAGAACTGGCTTTACTGACAAAATGCGCATGAAAAAAACACCTTTGATTAATCGTACAGCCTTAAAGTGAATATAGTTCGGGAATATTACAGGGTTGATTTTGAGAGTTATAGCCGAGTAAATAACAAAAGCTAACTAAAAATCACAAACAGATCTCAATCCCATTAATCTGCTCGGAAATGTGAAGAACATTCTTCACGTAAAACATGTCAGCTTCTATAATTATATTCATGACAACAATCCAGCCTTCGTTATTTCTTTAAATAAAACTATTGCTTTATAACTAAATCTGGATTTACTTAAAACATTTCCAAAAGTATTAACAGAATAAAACTGGATGTTCAGGGGTAGAAGTGTAAAATAGATTCACTAAAAGCAGGTAGACTGTTATGGTGCGTTCAAACCAGACGCGGATGAAGCGTTGATCACGAGTGATTTAAATATAAAGTCTATGCAAAGACGCGATTAGACATCCTGCAGTGCTTTTACTAAAATGAAACGGCACGAATGACGTGATTCGAGTGCACGACACAACACAAATTGAGTGTTTGACATGCTTAACGTGTGATTTGCGTAAATGCTCAAGTAAAAAAATATATAATTCGAAACTTTGGTGTTAACCAATCAGGAGCTTGCTCTAGCGGCCGCCATTGTTATACAGTTTTTTTTGCATTATACTTTGTTGTCCATGTCATTTGAATATTTTACATTTCTAAATGTAATGTGAAGCACTTTGGGCAATTCAACTTGCAGTTAAATGTGCTAAATAATAAATAAGTTGAAACTCAACAAGCTGGGTGCGCCTCTAAAGGATCTAATGGACCCAGAAATGGCGTTGAGCGAGTCCTTTCATAGCACATAAAGCACAACTACCCTCTCAACAAAATCCATGTCAGGCATTTTGCAAGGAAACTGGAGTGATTTTGCGTCTGTTGTGAAGTGAATGAAGCAAACTGCACGAATGATTGAGTAAACTCAAACTGTTTAAGCATCTAATTACGTACAAATATCGCGATTTACTTGCGCAAGGCGCATCCAGTGTGAGCGCCCCATTTTAGTAAATAATCTTTGTTGCTCTCTTACCCCGAGAAGGTCTCTGCCATCTTCATCAAGGGGGGGCACCACTTTAGACAGGTCCTGTCGAGCCCATTTGGGAAAGGAGGGTTTGTAGTCTGGCATTGATGTAACTCCAGGCCATATAGACTCATCAGGAGTGCCCAGAGTTCGAAATATCCGGAAGAGCTGATCTATTTCAGAGTCTCCAGGAAACAGTGCCCTCCGAGTAATCTGATATAAAAAGCAAACGAGGAGTCTAATGCACACGAATGTCTTAAGTTATCAACAAGCTAGATAAAAAGTACAAAAAAAATACCATTTCAGCAAAGATGCAGCCCAAACTCCAGATGTCAACAGCTGTAGAATAATATTTACATCCCAGGAGAATCTCTGGAGCTCTGTACCACAAAGTTACAACCTATAGAGAAAGATCAAGTTAAGATTAGATCATGCAACTTTGAGAGTGTGTAAGTCATCCGTACCAAATATAAATAAATAAATCTATATATGCTAACACTGGATGAATAGAAAAACAATAGATTCAGTACTAGAGATGGAAAATATGACACTTGCAAGCACTACCTGAAAATGAATAGTAGATATAAAGATAATATATACTATTAATAAAGGAAATGAATGCTTAGTTTAAACAAAACTCTGAAGAATGCATTTAAAAATGGCAATTTTTGTTGTCGTTCTCATGGTTGTTGCACGCACAAGTGACAATTCCCTGAAGACTAGCTCCAACTTCACCATACTGTGCTACTAAATACCCATGAAAAACAGTATGGTTCCATAGACTGGTACTTGACAAATGTGCACTGTATTGCACTTCTCCAAACCACTCAGTGAAAACAAGTCATAAACTCCAGAGGCATGTTTCTGGCTCTCACCTCATGTGTATAAGTCCGCACAGGTACACCGAACGCTCTGGCCAAACCAAAGTCAGCCAGTTTGATCTCGCCCTGAGCGTTGATGAGGAGATTCTGGGGTTTAAGATCTCTGTGAAGAACCCGATGGGAGTGACAGAAGGCCAATCCCTGGAGCAGCTGGAATAGGTAACTCTGAACACAAAACAATCAGATAAACACACCATGAGCTTTGTGACACCCTTCCGATTAAAATAATATGACATATGACTGTCTAGTGCCTGCAGCCAGTCAGCACTTAAAATGATTCTTTAAAAAAAAACTCTGACTTTTTGGGAGGACAGGAAGAAAAATACGTAATATATATATGTGTGTGTGTGTGTGTGTGTGTATATATAGATGTATATACACACACACACATACATACACACACACACACATATATATATATATATATATATATATATATATATATATATATATATATATATATATATATATATATATATATATATATATATATATATATATATACACACATATATACATATATATATATACATATATGTATGTATGTATGTATGTATGTATGTATATATATATATATATATATATATATATATAAATAATAAATGAATATATTTATTTCTAAGGTTTACCTTTTTATAGGACACTCATTAAATTAATCATTTGAAAAATCATTGAGTGTTACTGGGTACGGGGGATATTAAAAGCTTTTTGAGCTTACCATACATGCTATCTTTACACAATAAGGATTTAATCGACTCTATTAGAGCTGATCTGAGACTAGCACCAGTTTAACATATTTTTATTTCTTTTTCATACTGGACAGACAACTATTTTAACATAGAAATGTAAGTACTCCAACACACAAAGCAAATCCTGGTTATAAAAGAACTGAAAGCTATCTGGTATGAGATAATAAAAGTTAGTAAGTGATGATGTGGAGAAATATATTTATGTAATATTGAGTATAATATATTTTTAAAGGAACAGTTCAGCAGCTTTAGCTGATGTTAACACTTCTTCTAATGCTCAAACCTTAAACTCACCTTCACGAGTGGCAAGGATATGCCACTGACAGACGTCGAGTCCATAAACCTCTTCAGGTCTTGGTGAAGAAACTCAAACACCAAGTAAAGTTTATTTTCAGTGTGTATCACATCACGCAACCTGGAGGCAAGAAAACTGTAAAACTCACAAACCAGGAGGACATTTGTGCATTGAAATATTCACTGGTTTTGAGACTAAATTCATAAACAGTGCACATACTTGACTATGTTAGGGTGATTGAGCTCTTTTAGCAGAGAGATCTCACGAATGGCAGTGCTGGGAACACCTTCAGTTTCCCTGAAAACAAACAAAATCATGTCAATCCAGAATTTAGGACAAACTTTTGTTTATACGGAGCAGCTCATGTTACAGCATATGAAAACAACAGAGACCTATTGGCCTTAAAGGCACATTTGTAAGGGGTGTACTTATACAGTATATGCTGAGCACTGTACAAGATAATTTAAACAAACAAATTAAGTTGAATATTACTTAATATGTGTGTTTAAATTTATATTTAAAAATTATATAAAACATATAAATTGATTGCAACCACTTAACATACGTTTTTTGTAAATCCACTTAAATAGTTTTTTTCAGTGTATCATAACAAACCATCAATGGAAAGCTTAATTACTCGGTTTTTTTAGATGATGTATAAATCTCAATTTCCAGAAATTGACACTCATTACTGATATTGATGTCTAAAGTTAGTCGTATTCAAAAACACAACAGCCAAATAACACTTAAAAATTTAGACACCTTAGACAGGCTTTGTGTCGTCTTTGCGGTGTTATATTACAAACAACCATGAACAAAGAACAGTACATTAAAAACCCATAAGAACAACACTGTAAAATATATTCAAATTTAGCTTGAGTTAATGTCATCAGAGTGAACATTTGTAAAATATTAAATTAGGTAAAGTTGATTTTATATTCGCACATTCGTTAGTTTCCGAACAGTGACAACTTGTGATACTGTGTTTATATTTTTTATTATGCTACTTTGACTATTTTGGTCTGAAATGGCATGTAAATATGACTTCAGAACAACATTAGCTCTATTTAATTGACTGTAAACAATGATGTACTTTGACAGACATTGACTGCTGATATGATTTCACGATTTGGGATTTGCAAATAATAAATTTCTTTTCTGAAACTATGATATTAAGGAAAAAGTCTAAATGTGCGAAATGCGAATATAAAACCAACTTTACCCCAATAAGTGTTAGCATTATTATCTACTTGTAAACAAACAGTGAAGTCTGGTCACCTCAGCTTTGACAGAACCTCTCTCTGATGTAAACACACTTATTATGTTACAGTACAGTTTTTATGACAAATAAAAGATTAAATCCATAAACATTGGTTTTAAATTACAGTTTAGATTAGTTATTTGAATTCGAAAAAATACCTTGACAACTGTTACACAAAATAATCGAGGTAAAGTTGATTTAATATTTTAACATTTGTTAATTTTTGAACAGTGACAAATTGTGACAGTATTTATATTGTTTATTATGCTATTTTTAATATTTGGCTCTTAAATGGCATGTAAATATGACTTCACAGCAACATTAGCTCTATTTAATTAACTGTGAACAATGGTGTACTTTGACAGTCATTGGCTGCTGATATGATTTCTCTACTTTGGATTTGCAAAAAAATAGATTTCCTTATATGTATATGGAATTATATTATTAAGGAGAAAGTCTGAATGTGCGAATATTAAACCAAATTTTATCCCAATAAATGTTTGCATTATTATCTGCCTGTAAACAAAGACTGAAGTCTGTTCACCAGTCATTCCTCAGCTTTGACAGAAACTTTCTCTCTGAGGTAAACTGACTTTTAAATACACTTATTATGCTACAGTACAGTTTTTATGATAAATAAAAGGATAAATCCATAAACATTGTTTTTAAATTATAGTTTACATTAACGTTAGCTATTTGACTTCGAAACATACCTCGACACACAAAATAATCAAGGTAAAGTTGATTTTATATTTTAACATTTGTTAATTTTTGAACAGTGACAACTTGTGACAGTATTTATATTGTTTATTATGCTAATTTTAATATTTTTGGTCTGAAATGGCATGTAAATATGACTTCACAGCAACATTAGCTCTATTTAATTAACTGTGAACAATATTGTACTTTGACAGTCATTGGCTGCTGATATGATTTCACTATTTGGGATTTGCAAAAAAAATTGATTAATTTATAGTATTTTTCTTTATTTGTATATTAAATTAGATTATTAAGGAGAAAGTCCGAATATTACACAAACTTTACCCCAGTAAGTTAAGTGTTAGCATTATTATCTGCTTGTAAACAAACACTGTAGTCTGGTCACCTCAGCTTTGACAGAACCTCTCTCTGGGGTAAACTGACTTTTAAATACACTTATTATGCTACAGTACAGTTTTTACTGTATAAATATAGATTAAATATCCATAAATATCGGTATTAAATTGCAGTTTACATTAGTTATTTGACTTCGAAACGCACCTCGACCAACGTTACACAAAATCTAACGACAAATAAAACAATAATTAGCAAAAACTTACGTATCTAATCGGATTTTCTTCAGCGCGACAGTTTCTCCTGTAACTTTATTTTTGGCTTTATAAACCACTCCGTATGTTCCCTCTCCGATCTTCTCCACTTTCTGAAAAGACTCCATGTCAAAAGTGCCCCTTTTCCGGGGAAAACCGTCACTCTGGATCTATTTAAAAGAGCAGCTGTGCAGAGAAAGTGCTATTCGATGCAAACCGGCGATCAAAAACATTAAAATTGTTTATTTGATACGTTAAAACGGGCGACTGAAACTCTTGTCAGAACTTAATATCAATACCGCCGCCAGTTCCCGCGTTTCATACAGCACGCCCTCGCAACAAAGCGTAAAAACGAGCCCCGCCTCATGAATACAATTCAACATTCTAAACCAATGAATTGAGCGAATGAACAAGCCCCTCCCATTTGACTTAAAACTGACCACACAAAGCCGTCTTTATCTGTGTTTACACCAATGAATTGCGAGCATAAAAAATAACACCCGCCTTTTTTACGGTGAGGTGAAGATCAGAATGAAACGTAAGCAAAACCATCCTCAAACATCTTCTCATGGGAAATTATTAGGGTTGGCTTAATACTTAAGCATTAAAAGATATCTTATATAATGGATAATTTATTATTATTAAAATTTTATATTCATAAATGTATGATTAAGCTCATTGAGTATAACTAACATTTATTTATTTTTTTCATCTATTTATTTATTTTTGTCTTACTGATAATTACTTATTTTGCTAAGACATATCAGATCAAAAAAATTCTCATTTGAATACAGTTTTATATTTTCAGCTTGTTATTTGGTAAACACAGCATGTATTTTGGCATAAATATACAAAATGTATCAAATATAAGACGTTTTTGAGAAAATAAACTGTTTGATTTGTAAACATTTAACTCAAACAACCACTTAAACTATTTCTTGGTTTATTTGTATATTAAATATGAATATAAGGATAGCAAGAAACTGATGACAACCTTACAAATTTGTCCGTTTCTCCTGACTGACAGGCGGTGCTGCAGCGCAGCAGCAGTCAGGTCTTAAACCGGAATGTAGCAGATTTCAAAATACAAACCCTCTTCAAGAAAATGGCGGAAGTCGTAGAGCTGCACAAACTCAAGGTAAAACATAAGATTGAATAATATTTATACCTAATACTTACATCTGGTTTAAATGTGATCTTTTCTCGGCTCTGTTAATGTGAACTATAATGATTATTTAACAATAACATGAGATATAACGTTAACGTTTCAAGGTTCAAACGGACTTTCTGTTGCTTACAATGTAGGCAGCGTTTTTACTCTAATGTTATTCTCAGAAACGTAGTAAGTTGTGTACAATTCTTCCTTTCCCTAAGCTTTAAAACACATTTAACTGTTCATTTACACAGCATTTAAACAAATGGTGAGTGTATTATTTTTTTAAAAGTGACTTTTACTTTGTTCTCCCGACACACCGATATTACAGTCTGTCCTTTCAGTAAAATTACACCAGTTTACTCTTAAATTCAAAAACACAACCAGTACATGTTCTTCACCCTACCCGTATCTATTACAGAGGGGCAGAAACAACAGGCATATTATAAAAACAAGTTAACGACTTTTTCAGCCATTTGATATCGACAGCTGCTCATTGAAAACGCATTTTCTGGATGCGTTTCAATTGGATGAATCACTCGGGAACTACTCAACATTGCTTAGAAATACTCGAAATGTTACCAAAATTTGCTTGTTTAGAATGTATTTTGAAGATGATACACTCTTTACTGTTATCTAAAATAATACCAGGCATTACAGTAGCTGTAATTGAGGTAAAGTTGCTTTTATATTCTCATATTTGTACAGTGACATACACGGTACTTTAAATAAGTTATTCAGTCTGAAATCACATCCAAGTATGACTTCAAAACAACATTAGCACTATTTTATTGACTGTGTACAGTGTTGTACTTTGATGGTCATTGGTTGATAAGATTTAGAGTTTGCTAATAATACTTTTCAGGTAATATATTACTGAAGAGAATGTCCTAATGCGTGAATATAAAACCAACTTTACCACAGTGTAGCTATACAGTAGCTTATTTCATAGAGGTAAAGTTGGTTTTATATTCGCACATTCGGACTTTCCCCTTAATAATGTAATTTCATGAAAGTATTATTTTCAAACTCTAAATAGCAAAATCATATTAGCAGCCAATGACTATCAAAGTACAACATTGTTCACAGTCAAATAAACAGTGTTAATGTTGTTTTCAAGCCACACTTGCATGCTAATTCCAATCGAATATTCAAAGTAACATGGTAAACAATAAAGAGACTTCTAAATGAACGAATGTGTGAATATAAAATCATCTTTACCTCTATCTTTTTTCCTCCATTTTGTAAGTTTCAGGCTTAGAGTGAGCAATATCTATCTATCCATCTATCTATCTATCTATCTATCTACCTATTCATAGGACATTCAGATTTGTGTGTTAGTAATCTATTTGTAAAGATGCAAACATTATAGACTTAAAGTTTACGATTATTCACGGTGGTAAATTTAACCAGCTATTAAAACTAATAATATCTCCTCGTGGGATACATGATTTAACAAAAACATTATTTTTGTTTCTGATCTTTATAATCGTAAATGGGATCTCTTAACTTATAAGAGTTTTATAAATACTAACCAATTTCCTGTCTGGTATATGGAATTTAAGTAAATCATTAGGCTATACCAGGTGGTATACTATCTGATGAAAGCAGCTCTTAGTTATAAGGCAGGTTCCAAACAACTGTCACAGTTATGCATAGGGGCGAAATCTATTCTTAGTAAAGAATTCAATAATAAGTTAATTCGTCAGTTGTCCCAGTCACAAAACTCAATTACTCCTTGAGGAAAGTTTTTTTTGTTTTGTTTTCTGTAATTGTTAACATTCAGTGTAGGAAAACGTGGTTATTAATGTATAATTAAATGTTGTATTCCTAATAAAATAAAAGAGGTGCACTTTAAAATTTTGCACAGTATTTACCGCAGTAATGCACTTTTATCTATCATCATTGTTTTGGATTTTTTAAGTTCCTCTTGTTTTTCCAAGGTTAATGCGAGTGGTTATTTGCACCTCAAGGATGTTATTTGTTATTTCGAAAACAAGTCGTTAGAAGTTATCGTGAACTTTCTTATACTTGCTGGGAAATTTTACTTTCACAAACATTCATTCATTTTCTTTTCGGCTTAGTCCCTTTATTAATCAGGGCTCGCCACAGTGGAATGAACCGCCAACTTATCCAGCATATGTTTTACGCAGCGGATGCCTTTCCAGCTGCAACCTATCTCTAGAAAACATCCATACATACTCATTTACACATACACTACGGACAATTTAGCCAACCCAATTCACCTGTACCGCATGTCTTTGAACTGTGGGGGTAACCAGAGCACCCATTGGAAACCCACGTAAACACTGGAAGAACATGCAAACTCCACACAGAAATGCCAACTGACTCAGCCAAGGCTCGAACCAACGACCTTCTTGCTGAGGCGACAGCACTAACTACTGCGCCACCATGTCGCCCCACCTTCACAAACAGAGGTTCCTTTAAAAAAAATCCAATATTGTGTACTTTTTATGTAAAATAAATCATTTGAATTAAATCACTTAGATTAATTGATAATAAGAAATTAGCTTCTTTTTTTAGTAAATATGATGAGATACTTCATGCTACTTGAATAATTTTTATTGCATTATTATTAATATTATTATAAAAAAATTAATGTATTTTTTTTGGGGGGTGGTTGCTCTTTATTCTGTGTATCTAATGTGAATATTGTGTAAAAAAACTGTTCTCTTTTACTGTTTTCTAAGTTGTATTATACAGTTTCTTGGAATTAATAAAAAAATATAATAATAATAATAATAATATCTTCGCAGTTGGCGGAGCTGAAGCAAGAATGCACTGCTCGTGGACTGGATGCCAAAGGAAATAAAAGTGATCTGATTTCCCGACTGCAAGCTTACCTGGAAGAACATGGTAATGTTTATATATATTTCATCTCATATAACAGATCTGATTACAAATTTAGTTAAAATAGTTGAGTTCATTTATAAAGTATGTTTAAAAATAACCACCGGCTGACCAAAGTGCTGTACAGTAAAAAAAAAAGATGGGTTATTTACACTTGTAGCAGCAAAACATATTAAATGTCTATACTTAAAACGTATAAATGTCAAATTTGTGTTTGTAGAAGAAGAAGTAAATGAAGAGGAGGTTCTGGGAGGGTTTGGCGAGGTAAGCTATCCTGGATTTAATGTGTTTTCATGATATTTTCAGGACAGAAGCCAAAATAAATGCACTTTCAAATTTAGTAGCTACTGTTTCGTTTAGTTCTTTATTAGAAATTAAATGTGTGTTGTTCATTGTGTATATATTTATGGCTTATTGCTTTATTCGATACACCATTGAGTTGATTGACTGAGATATTAATCTCTTGTTTACTGAACATAATTTCACATGTTTTAGGAGACCTTTGCCAAAGAAGAGAGCACTGACAAGAAGGAAGAGTTATCTCCAACTGAAATGTATGTTATAAATTTTAATTATAAAAAGTCAATTGTATTTTTTCACATAATTTAGTCAGGCTAACATAAAGCACATTTTGCAATTGACCATTCAAATCAGCACCTTTAAAGGACTACAAACCTAGCCAAGCAACAAAAACTATAGAAATGGAATAAATTGTTAAAAAACATTGACATTACTGTATTAAATAAATATTGTAGCAAAGATGTTTCTAGCTATTTAATCATTTTCTTCGGTCTTGATGTATGTTATGTAACTACGGAATAGTCAAGCTCTAAATAGGAAAACTATTAAACTCTTTGGTCCTTTTTGAATGAAATGCTAATGTTCTAATCTGATTCAATGATTTATGCTAAGCTAATCTTAAAGTGCTCCCGACAGACTTAGAGATGGTCTGAATGGATCTAAAAAGGGTAAAACTCAACTGTTTATCTCTAGGGGAGCTTATTGTTATTTTAAAAAAGCAGAATAGTACGAGCAATTGTATTTTAATTACATTCGGATTGGCTTAACACTTGGAAATGAGCCACTTGTAGCATTGTCTGAGGGTATTTTTCTTTCTTGTTTGTTTACTGTGATTTCAGGGAGCCTGAGAAAAAGCTGGTCAAGTTGAACCCTCCTGTGGTAGCGGATGAGGTAATGATTGAATGAAGTGTTGACTTTCCCTATAATTGACTGAAAGTGCACTCACAAAGGCAATATTCTCACCCTCATGTCCTAATATGGGGCCGTTTACATTTTGCATTTTTTTGTGCGCACAAGCTCATTACTTTCAATGGAGGAAAAAAAAGCCAGAATTTTCAGAATGTCTAAGCTTTAAAGTCTAGAAGCTAGACATGTGCAGCCGGAGGTTAATGAGAATTATTTATATTATTACAACAGTACAATTACCGTACAACAATAATTACAGTATTTACATTACTTTGATGGTTAATGTAGAGTTAGGCATTATTCATTCATTCATTCATTCATTTTCGGCTTAGTCCCTTTATTAATCTGGGGTCACCACAGCGGAATGAACCGCCAACTTATCCAGCATATGTTTTTCGTAGCGGATACCCTTCCAGCTGCAACCTATCACTGGGAGTCATTCATACACACTCATTCACACTCATACACTACGGACAATTTTAGCTTGTCCAATTCATCTGTACTGCATGTCTGTGGACTGTGAGGGAAAAAAGGGAGGAAACCCACAGGGTAGGCGTTAATAAATTACAATTTAGTTTGTAATTTAATAAAGGAGTAATACTCTGTAAAATTCGTGTTCTTACATTCCTGTAAAGGTTGGGGTGGTGCTATAAAATACAGTAATATAAAAATCATACTTGTTAACCTGCCGCCACAGCTGTATCTCTTTTAGCAACAGCTGCTGTAAGTCATGTGACTAGAACTGACCAATCAGCATCATACTTTGTATGAAATAAACACTTTTTTTTTAGTAATTGCGGTAGTCTAATGACCTCAGACAAACACAAAGCACCCAAACACTGCAGTGCTTTTTAATATTCTCCACAAGTAAAACTTGTATCAGAGCTACAGCAAGTGTTTGTCATCCTCTGAGAAAATGGTTGCCTAACAAAGGCAGACGCAACAAAAGTGCGTGCGCAAAGCCATGTTGTTGCTTAAAGGGATACAGGTGTGGCCGAATTTAATCACAATTATTTATTAACTTACCCATTAATTGTATTTTATTAACATCTTCCCCAATCCTAAACTCAACCATTACAGTAATGTAAAAACGGTAATTATACCAAATATTATTTTTTAAATTACACATTAAATGGTATTTTATTAATGTCTACCCATACCCCAAACCCAACCATCACAGTAATGTAATAATATGAATTATTGCTGTACGGTGTCACAAAAATATGCTTTATTGACGTGAGTATCTGCCGCTGTATCCCTTCTAGACTTCACTGTTGAAAATGGTGAACGGCGCCTATATCACATTTCAAATCCCTTCTCCCAAAACAGCAACCATGCATGACATCATCTGGAAACATGATAGCAGAAATTAACTTTTAAGAAAGCCGAGTTTTTAATGTCAGAGACATTTTTAAATGTCAAGTGTGTTATTTTAATGGCTTCTTCCCCATCGCAGAGGCTTCAGAAGAGAGCGGAGCGCTTCAATGTTCCTCTGACTGGAGACAACAAAAAGGCAGCACGAGCAGCAAGGTTTGCTTGTTCACAGACAATGATTTGGGTTCATTTTGACCAGGAAGAAATGCATACACGTTTTTAAAAACTCCAGCTATCACCATGATAAATATCAGATCATAGATTCATAAGTGTGTGTTTGCTTAAATCAAATCAGTGATTATTTAGCCTTTTCCTTTACTTTTAGCCTTGCCAATCTGACGTTTGTTGATGAACATGCTGAGCAGTACATAGATCACAGTTGTGTTCATCTGAAAGACAATGTTTTACATGTAAAATTGATTTAGTTTGTATTCTTTTTATAGCAGAGTTTCTGTTGTTTTTAGTGTTGGAAAAAAATACATTTAATAAAGTATTTCTTGTTAAAATTAGTTAATCAAAATGCTGTTGTTTATGTTAACCCACAGTGCATAACCTAATGTAATGTAATGTAACCTACCTAATGTTAACTAGCACGGCGTTTGATTTTAATAATGCATTAGTAAATGTTGAACTGTGATTTAATAAATGCTATACTAGTATTGTTTGTTCATTTTAGTAAATATGTTAATTAACATTAGCTATGTTTTCCTAATTGTAAAGTGTGACCAACAAAAATCTGTAGTTTTCATAAAGGTGAACATCAGGAATAAACTGTCATTGTGTAAATACAAATGTACATTATGTGTGTTTTAAAGCATTTATACATCTCAACCCTCGTTCTTGTTTTGTTTAGGTTTGGAGTAACAGCACCTGAATCTTCCAAAGGTGAGTTCATGTTTAATTTGTACAGCACCCTCTCAAATTTAAAGTACCAGATGCCACCTTTTTGTTGCTGCTTCAATATGATTCTTGTACCATGGTTTTTGGTGTCCAGTAGTCAACATTTAAAGTGCATCAACCTTTTATCCATTGAACAACACCTATACTTGACAATTTTGAGTAACCTTTTTGAATGTGGACTACTGTGTATGCACTACAGTTTTACATTTAATGACACAATGATTTAGTTAATTTTTTATTTATAGATCCCATTAGATCAAAACCATTTCATCAAAGTCAAAGGAATTTTCACAGTATTTCCTATAATATTGTTTCTTCTGGAGAAAGTTTTATTTGTTTTATTTCGGATAGAATAAAATCAGTTTGTATTTTTTTTAGAAGTTTCTTAAACTAATTTCGAGAGGAGCACGTGATAGGATTGACCACAGCTGATCCCCATCACTAATCGCTAACTAGCCAATCGGATCACTCTAAATTTAATATAAATATCCAGAATAAACTTCATTCCTTCTTTCCTTATGCCCCCCACACACAGCAAGGAGGTCATTGATTGAAACACTAGCTGAGCCAACCGATACTATCTGTGCGGAGTTTGCATGTTCTCCCTGTGTTCGCATGGGTTTTCACCGGGTGCTCCAGTTTCCTCCCACACTCAAAAAACCATGCAACCAAAGTTAAAGTCACAAACACTTACTACAAACTAGCCGTTTAGCAGTCTATTCTTAGGAAGTTATCGAGAACTACCTGATCTCATATGCCTACTAATGCTTATCAACCAGGCGGTCTATCTCCGAGCTCAGGGTTCTCTCCCGGGACAGCATGCCAAACTTGCTTAAATAGTCAGGCATTATCTAAGTGTGAACTCTTGAAAACCATTTTAAGGTCAATATTATTAACCCCTTATGCAATATTTGTTTTTAATTGTCTACAGAACAAACCATCATTATACAATGACTTGGCTAATTACCCTAACTTTAAATGTCACCTTAAGTTGAACACTAGTATCCTGAAAAACATCAAGTCAAATATTATGTGCATCATTGGAAAGATAAAAGAAATGAGTTATTAGAGATAGACTATTATAATTAGAAATGTGTTAATGTAAAAATATATACAAGCGGGCTTATAATTCTGACTGTAGCTGTATATTGCATCAATAAAATGTATCGAGATCTTCGATATATTAATTATTGTGACATAATAGTCATGACTAAAAGTATAAACTGTAATGTGCATCTTACTATTCAGTAATGAGACTCAATACAATTAAAAAAAGATCACTAACCACATTAATTGAAATTAAAATTTTGACTTATTTTATATTAGATGGTTTAAATCTTTGTAATCTATTTGACAGGACAAAACTTTGTACCACCTGAACCCTTTTATCAATATCTTTTTTTTGTTTGTTCTTATTTAGGAGCTTCAACGAAAACAAATGTAAGTAATTTGGATGGGATTTTTTTAAATTGAAGTGTGACGTAATTAAAATGTGACTAAAATCTATACACAATCGCTGCTTTTCAGGTTGACGTTGAGGTATTAAAGAAGAGAGCAGAACGTTTTGGCATGAATGTGTCCTCCGTTTCCAAAAAAGTGGGTTTGGAGCCCTTCATACAGACTGATGACTTGTAAAGTGTCTCTTTTCAAATCTTTCACTGGCTCTGGTTGTGTTTGTTTACAGGTTGAGGATGATGAGAAGCTTAAGAAGAGGAAGGAGAGATTTGGCATTGTCACAAGTGCATCGTCTTCTGGAGGAGGAGATGATTCAGAGGTACAAGTGTCCTGATTTAGAGCAGTACCTTAAATGAGAACATGACACTGATCTAAAAGGTATTGTTTTGTTTATCAGATGTGCTAGAATAGGTTAAGTTAGGGATCGAGTACATCCTGGAGGTTTTTGCAGAATAAAGCGCAATGTGTAGCAGAGCACTGTTGTATAAGACTGAAGGGCTCTATTCTGTGAAAACAACCATCTGGATATACTTTATCCCGCAAAAAATACTTGTCACAAAAAATAAAAATTAGTCCTCAAATGTTGTTCTGAGCCATAATAGTTTATTAATTCTGAAAGTATTGAAAACAGCTGATGGAGTATACACTAACCTGCACATTATTCAGACACAAGATGGCGCCAAACAGTCAGAAGTCGTGGTCCGAATTTACATGAAACACTATTTCCCGAAATTTTTTAGTGCATATTTAACATAAAAAAAATACAAAAACAAAAATGTAAAACAAATTTTTTTTTTCTCATTTCGGACAGTAAAATATAGTGTTTGGGACATTTCATATCCTCCAAAACAGTTGCAGGATGACACTATGTCTGTAAAAAAAAAAAAAACATTCTAAGTATTTTAAATAGCCACTTAAAAGCTAAAATGTGCTGTTCTTGTATGTGGACACTAAGCCCTAGGAGGATATATTTAGCTTCAACGTTTGACTCATTTAATTTTTCACAGCTTTCAGCCTTAATCTGCTTCATACTATCGTATTAATACGTGTTGAATATTTTAGCTTATCATCAACGTGATTTCTGCAGGAGTCTTGTGGGATGAATGAAGACTACAACTCCCATGATTCCACACTCAGTCATGCCATCATTACAATACGCTTTTGTTTGTTGTGAATACACGCCCTCTAGTGTCCAATATTACTTACTGTGCCTTTAAGTTTTACTAGTAGTTTTACTGGGTGGCTCAGTGGTTAGCAAGAAGTTTGCTGGTTCAAATGAGTGGCATTTCTGTGTGGAGTTTGGATGTTCTCCCCGTGTTGGTGTGGGTTTTCTCCGGTTTCCCCCACAGTCCAAACACATGCACTTTAGGTGAATTGAATAAACTAAATTGGCTGTAGTTTGAGTGTGTGTGTGTATGGGTGTTTCCCAGTATTGAGTTGCAGCTGGTAGGCCATCTGCTGTGTTAAACATATGCTGGAATAGTTGGCGGTTCATTCCGCTGTGGTGACACCTGATAGATAAGGCTAAGCCGAAGGAAAATGAATGAATGAATGTAGTATTACTGTCTCTCACAATGTATCCCTCTCTTTCTTTTCCAGGCAAAGAAGCGGAAACGTGCCGAGCGGTTTGGAAATGTATAAATAAACGGATCAATTTTTATACCTTTTTCATTTTTTAATGCGGTGTTCTTTTTGTGATAAACCTGTAATCCCTGTAGTGCCATGGTTTTGTTTATTACACTATTTACATTAAATTTACCCAAGTTCATTACCAATTTCTCTTTGTTGTCTTTTGTGTGTGTGTGTGTGTGTGTGTGTGTGTGTGTGTGTGTGTGTGTTTAATTTGATGATATTTATTGTTTGCCATAGGTGCACTGCAAAAAAAGCTTTTCTTAGATTATTTTTGTCTTGTTTCTAGTCTAAATGTCTCACGATTCTTAAATCAAAAAGAATTTTCTAGACAAGCAAAACATATTGTCTTGATTTCAGCAATAATATACCAATATTAAGTGAGTTTTTCCTTAAAACTAGCAAAATAATCTGCCAATGGGGTAAGCAAAATAATCTTGTTTTTCTTTTTGACATAAGATTATTCTGCTTACCCCCATTGGCAGATTATTTTGCTAGTTTTAAGGAAAAACTCACTTAATATTGGTATATTATTTCTTAAAACAAGCCTATGTTTTGCTTGTCTTGAAAATTCTTCTTGATTTAAGAACTATTAGATATTTGGACTAGAAACAAGACAAAAAATAAGAAAAGCATTTTTTTGCAGTGTGTACGAGGCCTTGAGGTATTAATATGAATTCTTTAATAAATCTTTAAGACGCATGTTTTTTACTTAATCATGTTAGCCACAGTAACTCGATTTTAATCACTAATAAAAAACAGTATATGGGTGATCTCATGTGCCAGCATGTACACCCTCACCGGTGACCTACTTACACCTGCAGCTTCTCCAAGATGGACGTCCAGGATTCTTCAGCTCCTGGCGCCTAGCCTGCAGCTCTGCACAAGAAGTTTGGCCATAGGAGAAATGGTCGTGGTCCAACTGAGCCTGGTTTCTCTTGAGGTTTTTTCCTTCACTTTCGTAAATTGGTACAATGTTTTCCACACTGCTGTCCACACTGGCTTGCTTGGTTTGAGACTTGTGGAGCTACACATCGATTGATTTGCTCTTCAGTGTTTGGACTTTCAGCAGTGAAAATGAAACCAGACTGAACTGAACTTCAACTCTGAAAACTGGACTGACACAGTTTCAATCTACTTGAAGTTCTATGTTAAGCTGCTTTGACACAAGCTACATTGTAAGATGAGAGATAAAGATGATTTAAATTGAATATCTGGTTCGTTTATGGTTAATATCTCTCAATATCTCAGAGATTTATTTTACACCATGAGCACAACAGTCTGTAGATGTTTTACCAAGAAAAGATCATGTGGCGATGACTTTCAGATGACATTAATTGCAAACACAACTAAAAATGCAGAAATGGTAATATTGTGTTTATTAAATTGACTGTTCTGTGCATGAATATATTTGAGTAACTGAAGTACACTTGAATGGGATGTAAAGCTGAATTTTTTTTTTTGTCGTGATCCTTCAGAAATTATTATGATTATTATGATTTTCAGCCAAAAAAAAAAAATTGTTTTCTTCTTATCATTGTTTAAAAGTGCAATGTAATTACTGTGGAAAATCTGATGCATTACCATTGAAAAGCTCCATATTTTCTAAAAGGACAAATTATATTGGCAAAATAGTCTTATTTCAAAGAAAAACATGCATATGTTGCTTGTTTTAATGAAAAACTTAAGTTTGACTAATTTCTTTAAATAGAAAAAAAAATGTTCATGCTTGTCTAGAAAATGCTGCTTGATTTGGACTAGAGACAAGACAACTCCATGCAGGAAACGCAGAGTTTGGACTCTCCAAGATGGACAAGGCAAATCTATTTTCATTTGCAGATAATGTTAGTCAACTTCTGAAATACTGATAATGGTGTTTATTTGTTAGTGATTTTATTCATACATGATTCATTTGTTAAGGGATTGACATTTTATGCTCGTATACAGCTGACGTCAGGATTATTCGCCCTCCTGGGAATTTTCTTTTTCAAGTATTTCCCAAATGATGTTTAACAGATTCAGGAGTTTCTCACAGTATTTCCTATAATATTTTGTCTTCTGGAGAAAGTCTGATTTGTTGTATTTCAGCTAGAATAAAAGCAGTTTTTAATTGTTTTAAGCCCAATATTATTAGCAATATTAGTTTTAGATTGTCTCCAGTACAAACCAGTTATACAATGACTTTCCTAATTAACCTAGTTAAGCCTTTAATTTAAGCTGAATACTACTATCTTGAAAAATATCTAGTCAAATATGATGTGCTGTCATCATGACAAAGATAAAATAAATCAGTTATTAGAAATGAGAAACTGGGGGGAAAATATACAGGAGGGCTAATAATCCAGATTTGAAATGTAAATGGGTTTAGCACCATCATACACAATACTGAGTCAAACATTTCACTGATTATTCTCTACGCTAAGAGCAACACTGTAAACAGCATGTGCGTCTGCCTTAATTTTACACGTACAGCACCTTTACATTTGCAGCACAATAACTGAAGCGCTTCTTCATCTGCAGGCTCTTGTGTCGGATTCCCACCACATCAATCTTTCTTCTCATCTCTGGCCTTTTCCTTTGTGGATTCTTTCACCACCTGCATAATGAACAACACAATCAAAAGTACACAACAAATATACATTTTGATAGGAAAACAAAAACATTTTATGTGATTTAACTCTTTCCCCGACATTGACAAAGAACTCCTCAATTAAGTGACAACGTCTTCATTGATAAGTTTCTACAGCAATCTGCACTGAGAGAAAACAAAGATTCATTGGATTTACTACATTTTTTAAGGTAAGTGGTTGCAAATTATTTATATGGGTTCCATTTAAACAAACATTAAATTTTGTAATATTCAACTTCATTTGTTTGTTTAAATCCAGCCCATATGAAGTGTTTGTAACCACTTAACTTAAAAAATGACGTAAATTCAATAAATAAAAAACAAATAAATCCAAAAGGTGCTCCATATGGTGACTGTGGAGGCCATTTGAGTACAGTGAACTCATTGGCATGTTCAAGAAACCAGTCTGAGAGGATTTATGCTTTATTGCTATTGTTATTATTATAGGTTGTCTTGCAGAAGATGGGTCACTGTGGTCATAAAGGGATGGACATGGTCAGCAACAACACTCAGGTAGGCTGTGGCGTTGACACAATGCTCAATTGGTACTAATGGGCACAAAGTGTGCCAAGAAAATCTCCCCCACACCATTACACCACCACCACCAGCCTGAACCACTAATACAAGGGAGGATGGATCCATGATTTCATGTTGTTGATGACAAATTCTGACCAGACCATCCGAATGTGGCAGCAGAAATGGAGACTCATCAGAGCAGGCAACGTTTCTCCAATCTTCTATTGTCCAGTTTTGGTGAGTCAGGCGTACCTAATAAAGTGACCGAAGAGCAATTATATATATATATATATATATACATATATATATATATATATATATATATATATGCATTTTTCTTTCTTTTTTGATGAAACCTATTTGCATTCAGGAGTAGTGATAAAAAATGTTTGAACAAATGTTTTTTTTTATATCAAAATCAGAGATTCATGAGATGATCATATATTCATAGTAGAAATTGTTCTGATGGCCCTAAAATTTAGGTGAAAATCATCAAAAATACTGGTAGTGGCTGGAGGGGAAAGAGTTAATGTAAAGATCTCTCATTAAACATTGCTTTTAATGAAGTGAAGTCTGTCTTGACTGGCTGTTTTACTGTTGGACATCTTAGTTCAGATGTTTGTTTTCAGTAAGTGGCTTTATCTGATCGTCTCACCTCTCCATCACGAATCTCAACAGTCTTGATGACCACTTTCTTTCCAGGTGCAGGGTCAGAAAACTGGCCGTAATCTGTTCAAAGGCAGCAAAGGTTTAGTGAAACCACTCATGACTAGGGCCAGACAGAATCTGAGGGCTTTTATTAATTATGATTTATGTGGAATGTAGCGTTCCTTCGGCTTAGTCCCTTATTTATCAGGGTTTGCCACAGTGGAATGAACCGCCAACTATTCTGGCATATGTTTTAAGCAGCGGATGCCCTTCCAGCTGCAACCCATGACTGGGAAACACTCATACACTCTCACATTCACACACACTCGTACAGTACGGCCAATTTAGTTTTAGCCAATTCCCCTATAGTGCATGTGTTTAAACTGTGAGGGAAACCGGAGCACCCGGAGGAAACCCACACCAACATGGGGAGAACATGCAAACTCCACACAGAAATGCCAACTGACCCAGCCCGATCTCGAACCAGCGGCCTTCTTGCTGTGAGGCGACAGTGCTTTGCTAACCACTGAGCCACCGCTCCACCCTCAGAATTGAATAGTAATAATAAAATAATGCTTTTTATTATGTGTCGTTAGACGCACCTCCACTGTGTCCACTCATTGAAGGCATTTTCATGATAGGAACCGCAATTCTGAAAAAGCCAAGATTAAACATCATCAGTTACCTGGAGCAAATTTAAAAAATGGCTCAATGGTTTCAGTCTTACCTGCTCTCCTCTCCCTCCAGAAGTTTCCTATAGGTGGCGATCTCAATGTCCAGGGCCATCTTGACGTTGAGCAGGTCCTGGTATTCCCGCAGGTGTCGGGACATCTCCTCCTTCAGGTGTCGAATCTCCTCTTCTAGGCGCCCCACAGCATCTTGATAGTTTCCAGCCTCCAGAGTAAACTGCTCCTCCATTTCCCTCATCTGACGCAGCAGAGCCTCATTCTGCAGGACACAGCATATATATGTGCAGTTGAAGTTGTCGTGATGCTTTTCTCTTAATGAATCAGACATAGTCTGAAGGTTATGAATATCAGAAGAATATACTTTATTGGAATATTTTCTGGAGCAGACCCATCTCAGTCTCTCCCCAGGACAAATCCAATGTCCCTTAAGTTTGCTATCCTTGCTTCCTCCCACCTTTGTGATTTCACAGCTGGTTCAACAGGCCTCTCCCAGCTCTTACTCCTTTACGACCCCAATTTAAAGCCCCCTCTTCTTGTTAGCCCTCATAATGTAAAGATATAATGTATTCATAACTGTTTTTACACACACAGTTCACATGACTAGTATGTATGTTTCAAACATCTAAACTGGACTCTTCTCTCCCATACAGTGTGTGTCTTTTCAAATATACATGACAGTTTCAACATACATTGCATACATTTCATGTCTTACTGACACAGATGGTTCTCATTGTATCCTCAAGTCCTCTCTCGTGACCTTTTATGACCCCTTTGCCTTAAAGGGCACCTAGGTTACCCCTTTTTTCAGATTTAATATAAGTCTTTTGCGTCTCTAGAATGTGTATATAAAGTTTCAGCTCAAAACACCCATCAGATTTTTCATTATACCTTTTACAAGATGCTGTTTTATACTGATTTCCAGCAGGGGGTGGTTTTGTTGTACTGCGCCTTTAAGACGAGTCTTTCCCGCCTACTGTTTCTACATGCCTTCCCGCGTGCTTTAATCTCCTCCCTCGGCTGCGTCAGACAACAGACAGACTTAAAGGAAGAAGGTCTCACGTAGCATTTGTGAGAAATACTACAGTAAGAAGTAATCATTACTAATCAGTATTGTGAAGTTGCATTGATGAGTCAAACACAATATCATTACAAAGTTCGCACACACACACACACACACACAGATACACAGGCAGACAGACAGACAGAGCGCGCTTAGCTTAGCACTGTTTTTGCACTCAAATGTGACAGGATACAGGCTAACCTCCACTGCTGTGTGGATATCTGTTATGCTAATGTACAAAATAAACCTGATTTAACTTCCACAAACCGGGATTGAAGCGTCTTCCTTTATAATTGTTCTGACACGCGGCTGTGCTGATGAAGTAAAGCTGAAGTGAATCGCTGTAAATAATTACACACGTGCTCTGTTTTAAAACACTTTAAACATGTGAAACTTACTCTTAATCACATTTGATGATGATTGCTGATCCTAGCGAACAGAACAGACCTTTTATTCCCGGTTGCTTTGCGTATGTCTGCCTGGTCTTGTTGACATATACACGTGACTACAGGAACATGTTAATGTGCGCAGCTGTCAATCAATTTGGTGGGCGGGGGGTGTGCACTCCTACGTAAAGTTGCGGTCGGTCTGAAAACCGCTCCAATTGGTCCACCGTTTTTATGTTGTTCAATTGAAAAAAAGAACTGGGTGTGTTTATATCGCCCCGATATGATGGTCTATACACTATATATACACATATGTTTGTCCAAATAGCTTGAAAAGTAGATTTTTCACCACAGGTGCCCTTTAAAGACATATAATGGCAGATTCATAGGGCCCTCCACTCACCCAACTAATGTCTTCATATAGCTTTAGAAAATAAAAATCTTCTTCAAAGCCAAAATGATTTGCCCTCCTGTGAATTCTCTTTTCTTTTTCAAATATTTCCCAAATAATGTTTGACCGATTCAGGAATTTTTCACAGTATTTCCTATAATATTTTTTCTTCTGGAGAAAGTCTTATTTGTTTTATTTCAGCGAGAATAACAGCGGTTTTTATAATAAACAAGGTCAATATTTTTAACCCCCTTAAAGGGTCATGACATCCCCCACTTTCGGTTAAAGTCTACTTCGGAATTTTTTTAAAAGATGCATGATTAATGGGCGTGGAGCTCCGCGAGCATCGGGCAGGAGTGGGCGTGGTCAGCAGGGGAGAAGGGGAGCGAACAACTGCTGTTGTCAGTTAGCTCACAAAATGAGACACAAACCATGAGTTTATAGTTCACAAAGTTAAAATGCAAAGAAATAACCAGTAATTTAATGCCCTGCTACATTTGTTATTTGTAATTTCATATAGACATAACCACAATTTATATCATTATAAAGATAAGTGTGTTCATGTAAACACTATAAATGAGGAGTCTCCCTCGATCCCCGGGTCTAAATTATAGATCTGAATGCAGACTCAGTGCAGCAGGTCTCCTGACCTGTCTATTTTAACCATTAGCCCTGCTGGTCATCAAGAGGATTTAGGCGAACAGCAGCACGGCGATGTGTCTGAATGTGAACGAACTCCTGATAAAAGTCAACGTCCGACATTCTTCAATTCTCGTACTGCTCTCCCGACAAAAATGCTTGCTGCACACAAACAGCTTTGCTGTAAGATCGGCCCTGAGAAGATCGCGGGGAAAAAACATGCAACAAACCCTGTGGATCATGGAAACAAACACATACGAGCCTTCATGAACGGCTACTGCGTGCCGTTGGTCTGTGTCTCACAGCTTGCTTGAAACTGGCAGGTCTGCCTTCGGAAAGCACGTGCTCTCATGAATAATTAAGCAGCCGGCTCTTCTCATAGGATAAGAAAACTCCGCTATGAATAATAAAGAGAAAACGACGCGTCATCATTGCACTTGCGGTACTTCGCTACATCGCCGATTTTGATCCACCCCAAAAATCATTTTAAACCTGGAAGCTGAAATGAGCTGACAAAAGCTCAAAACTATCCAGTTTTCCCCACAATTAAAGCTGACAGGTGCTAACATCGTCTTAACTGATGCTCAACACACACACATCTGTTGATATTAAAAAAAAAGTTCTCCAGGGTGTTCTGAACCTTTAAGAAATATTGTTTTTTGGATAGTCTACAGAACAAACCACTGTTCTACAATGACTTGCCTAATTACCCTAACTTGCCTAGTTAACCACCGCAAAAAGCATAAATGAATGAGGAAAACTAAAAAAACTAAAAACATGAATCACAAAATATGGAAAACGTTTTACAGTGTAATTAGATGTACGTACAGTACTCTTAAGAGCCTCAATATCACAGTTCTGGGCTTGAATTTGCCTCCTCAGGTCATTGTTGTCTTGTTTCGACTGCCTCATGGCCTCAGCATTGCGCTTGGCTGAATCTGTCAAGTCAGCAAACTAATAGAGAAAACACAAAGAAAGACACACACATCATCAGTGTGTATTCACAAGCAACACCAGTGTTGGAAAAGTCACATCAAAAAGTAAATAATCACCAATGAATCATTAAAACTGCATTTAAATACCTGTAAATCTCAATGTATAGATAACAGAATCGAAACTCTTTTAATTCTGTAAATTTGAGGTGTGGCGGCACAGCTCAGTAGTTATCGCCTCACAGCAAGAAGGTCGCTGGTTCGAGTCCCGGCTGTGCCAGTTAGCATTTCTGTGTGGAGTTTGCATGTTCTACCCGTGTTGGCGTGGATTTCCTCCGGGTGCTCCAAATACATGCGCTATAGATGAATTGGGTAAACTAAATTGGGGTGTGTGTGTGAATGTGAGAGTGTATGGGTGTTTTCCAGTACTGGGTTGTAGCTGGAAGGGCATCCTGCATAAAACATGTTGCTAGATATAATAAAATATGCTGGAATAATTGCCGGTTCATTCCACTGTAGTGACCCCTGATAAATAAGGCACCAAGCCGAAGGAAAATTAATAAAAGAAAGAATTCCACATTACAAGCATTACTTCGAGATGCTAAACTGAACAAATGTGTCTAAAGACGATGCCTCTGGAATGTACAGAGCATTAATAATTGAATTACAGTTAATAATTACACCTAATAGAGAGTAAAAGACACAGTTTATGTTATGTCTGACCTTGGACTTGTACCACTCCTCGGACTCCTGCATGTTTTTGGAGGCGATGCTCTCGTACTGAGATCTGATGTCCCGAAGTGCTGCGGTCAGATCGGGGCGGCTGGACGTCTCCATCACCTCCATCTTCATCTGCTGACTCTGAACACTCACCTGGACATCCTGGATCTCCTGCAGGTGCAAAACAGACTTTTCTTCAGAGCATCTTTTATTTTAAAAGAATACAAAAATTATTCAGGAGGGATAATAATTCTGACTTCAACTGTATATTTTTGGTAATGTGAGTCGACAAACCAAATCATTGTTAAGTAAACTGAATGGAACAAAGAGCATAATAAAAAAAGTAAAGCGGTAGGTGTCCTTGTGGATTTTTATTTGTCTTGACATTTTGTTAGGATACACAAAATCAGAACCAGATTTAATAACCAACAAATGCAATTATGAACCAAAAGCAACATCCAGACTAGCCTTAAAAGATTGTGTGTGTGTTTTTAAGTGTTTTTTAAGACAAGGACAAGTTGGTACTATTCACAAATTCTTTAACTCATTCATGAAATCTGTCTCTCACCTCATCATGCATCTTCTTGAGGAACTCAATCTCATCCATCAGAGACTCAATCTTCCTCTCCAGCTCCAGGCGAGCAAGAGTAGCATCATCCACATCCTTCATGTACACAGTCACATGACAAAGATACCAAACTGTGAAACGTCATATATACATGTTAAAGCCCCACCTTCACATTAGCCCAGAGTGCTCTGATTGGCCAGCTGATACAGTGCATTGTAATTTTACACTTTTGAGATGTAAAATGTACCACCCATAACCATAATCACCAGTTTCAGCTTACAAGGCTTTTACATTTTAAAGTTATATCATGTACATCCAATAGAAATTGTCCTAAAAATAGTAAAAAATAAAAGGTGGTGCATAATTTCATACTTTGGGAGCCGATTGGATCTAACCAAATGAAGGAAGATTGACAAATGGATGAAAAGCAGGGCATAAACAAGGCATGGCTGATATCCCCACCCTAAACGATGGATTGCCCCACCCTAAATAGCGGATAGCCTATCCCTAAAGCAATGATAGTCCTGCCCTAAAGAATTGATAGCCCCGCCCTAAATTACTGATAGCCCCACCCTAAATGACTGATAGCCCCACCCTAAATGACTGATAGCCCCATCCTAAAGGACTGATAGCCTGGCCCTAAAGGACTGAGAGTCCCCCCCTAAATGACTAATAGCTCCGCCCTAAAGGATGAAAAGCCCCACCCTAAAGCACTGATAACCCTGCCCTAAAGGATGAAGAGTCCCACCCTAAAAGACTGATAGCCCCACCTAAAGGACTGACAGCTCGGCCGTAAAGGACAGATAGCCCCACTCTAAATTACTGATAGCCCTGCCCTGAAGGACTGAACGCTCCGCCTTATAAGATGGGCAGTCCTACCCAGTATGAATGGAATTGGGATGCACTACATTCGCCATTTAGTCATGATCACGTGACCAAGTTGCATCGCTTCACTCCCATTCATGCATCCTCTTTTGCGCAATTCAAAATCTCGCCGGAAGTAGTAGGTCATCAAGGTATTTCTTGCATACTCTTTTTCGAATTATATGAATTCGGACGTACTACTTGGCTTGCATACTGATTTTAGCGTACTAGATATAGTATGCAATATGCCGCTTCAGACGCAGAAATGACTCTGTGAAATGACGCTTTACCCAAAATGACTGATAGCTCCGCCCTAAATAAATTCCATGTGACCAGAAGTGAAGAAAAGTCGTGGAAGTAGGGAAGGTTGTGGTATTTGATTAAAGATTCTGAAAATCGTTTATAACAACATTATGCAAGTAAGAAGAGTAAATATTGGTTTTAATCAGACTTTAAAAGAAGATGTAAACACACACAGTTTAAAGTGGTGTGGGTTTTACTCAATCACCTAAAGCTCAAATTCAAATACTACTTTTGTTATTTACTGTTTTTCACCTATAGTTATGTATGCAAATTAAGATGTAACAACTGATTAAACTAAGAGACAGATATTCTCCGAAACCACTTTACCTTACGAAAGAGAGTCAGATTATTTTCAGCTTCCTCTCTTTTCTGCATCTCCTCATTTAACCTGCAAATAAATAGGAGAAAATAGTACATTTAAAAATACAATAACAATACAACAAGGTTTATTACCTTGTATTAGTAATACGTTCCCACTTTTAATGCTTAACTGACTTATACATTATGCTATTACAATACAAAATGTGGTTCTAGCCTTAAATTCTGTGTTTTTATATAAAAGGATGGGTGAGAGGGAATGAAGGATTTGTGTTTCTTGATTTTCTGTCCTGAATTATGCATTACAACTGTGACTTTGTCCTCGAGCAACAAAGAAAATGTCCTTGACAGCTGTGTGTCTGATGTAAAGGTTGTAAGACAAATATTAAATCTCAGCTGGCAGAGAGTCAGAGGAGTGATTAGCTGATTTGCTTAAAAGCTTCTGAGATTACATTAGTACCGGCTGGGTGGCATGGTATTATTGCAAATTTAATCATCTATACACATGAGTGAATCCTACTTCTGCTGTATCCCCATAATAATATATAGCTTGAGGATTTCAGTCTAGACTGAGGGTGACTGAGGATAGTACCAGAAAGAATAATTTGTCGAGCTAACAGTGTGGGGTTTAGATAAAAATGGCCTTCATAGACAAATACGTAATTAAAATAAAATAAAAAATCATCTATCAATATTTCATAAGTCACACCCATGATAACAAATTCTAAAATAACTTACAGTGGTAAATAATGTTTTTGTACCATACTAGGTAACACTTTAAATAATGGTCCATTAGTTTATGTATTTACTAGCATTAACCATGTGTGAATGATCCTGTAAAGCATTTATTAATCATAGTTCAACATTTACTAATGCATTAATAACATCCAAAGTTGTGTTTGATAACATGAATTAACGAACTTTAATTAATTTTAATTAAATGAATGAGTATGAATAAATACCATAGCAAATGTATTACCATTAGTTTGTTCAAGTTAGTAACTAATGGACCATTATTTTAAAGTGTTACCTCATACTAAAGTAAAGTACTTGAGTTAATCTGTTGTGGTAGGCTATACTTCTAGTCGCTATTGTGACAATACAACAACCAATTTACACTACTGAAAAACAAATTACTCTACACTCAAAAAAGACTTTTGCCACTTGTTCAACCTTATTTAAAATAAGTTGAAACAACATAATTTTAGGACAATTTAATTCTTCTATGTTCTATGTAAATTTGTGAAAATGATTTACGTTAACTTAATCGATTTGTGTTGGGTCAACATGAAGGAATTGTGTGAAACCCTGCATTTTTTTTAACAGTTTACAAGTTTTCAACAAATATGCTGTATTACAATACAATACAGTAGTGTAACTTTAGGCTACAGTTAGTTAAACAGTTGAGATGATACTACAATATGCTGTATCTTTCATTATTGTAACTTTACTATGGTTCAAAAACACTACAGTATTTACGATAAATTACTATACTATTTTATTTATAAGGCTTTGTAGGGGGCAGAATATATAATGCTTAAAACAAAACAACTGCAATAACGATACAATAATATTCTTATATTACCAATTGTCTCTCCCTAAACTGAAATTTCTTGTCTTGTCAGTCAAGGCTATAGGTTGCCAAGGTTATTTAACTTTCGACTATAACTGATATGGACTAAACCAAATCAAGATATCGCGTTGAGGCCATGATTTTGGCACTTTCTTCTACTTCGTCTGCTGAGGTGAGAATATTGTGCTTTGCAAACACTTTCTGATATCGTATAATGATAAAAATTGTTGTAAGCTCTTCCTACCTATTGTCCTCGAGTGAAAACGCCCTTTCTAGAAATACATCATTATTGGAAATCTTTTGACAGTTTCCTGCGCGCGCGCTTCTTTGGTGTACACATTAAAAAACAAAAACATTGCTTTCATTAAGTTAATTGTTGATGGTAGAACGTTGTAAGCTTAATCTGTAGGCACAAATGCTCCTAACGGATGTTTTTATAGCACACGTACAGCATATGAAATTGTATTGTTTAAGATACAGCTGATATGGACCAAACCAAAATATCGCGTTTTTCTCAGGCACTTTCTTCATCTGCTGAGGTGAGAGCATTCTGTTGTGCTATGTAAACACTTCATGACATCGTACAATAATAATATTCGCTGTTGATGAAGCTCTCTTATCTTTTGTTCTCGAGGGAAAACGCCCTTTCTATAAATATATTATTATTGGGAATCACTATAGTCTCCTGAGGCGCGGTTGTGCGAGGCAGTTTCCCGCGCGCGCTTCTTTGGAGTAAGTTACACAACAAACATGATTTTCAAGGTAAGTGTTGATGGTAGAAGTTTTAAGCAGTAACTATAGGCACGAATGCTGCCTACGAATGTGTTTTTATGTTTTTACAGCCAACATATGAAATTGTGTTGTTAATTTTCAGTAGGATGAAAGCAGCAGCCTACTTCAGCATGCGTGTGCTGTCCATGGAGCATCGTTGAAATGGCTCCTCATCCATCCATTACAGTGCAGACCGCATAATAGAGGATGATAATGGGAGGGTCTTTGCTGCAGCTTCTTTGTCTGAGTGACTTTCATTTTCTGCCACGCCCAGGTAGGCTAACAAAAACATCTTTATACAAATACTTTTATTTTTGCAGATCTAATCTGATAACTTTTCAGTTATCTGTGTGCAGATCCCACCCTAAAGCGGTGCTATTACTTTGTTGTAGAAGATAATCTCCATACAAACACATTTAAAGTATATTTCTATTTCCCATTGCTATGCACAATGCCAACCTTAATTAATTAATATTATTAATAAGTATGATCATTAAACAAAAGCTTATTCCATCCATAATCTGATAAAACACGGGTATGATTACAACATTATAACCTATTTACATGTTTATGTTTGTGCATACACTTATTAACATCAGTATCTATTTTTATGTGAACTGCTAAAGGGGTCATTTACCCCAAAAAACAAAGTTCTGTCATCATTTACTTACAACTATGCCAATGCAATTATGCAGGTCTCTATACAGTTAAATATAAGATAGGTTGTAGAATGTTTCAAGCGTTTTTTTTTTTTTTTTTTACATAAAAATTAAAGAAACTTTTGCTAAAATATCTTTACATTTATTCCAAAAAATAATTAACTCCAAAGAGCGTTGCATTGACAGTGGGTGAACAATGACAACATTTAAGAAAACCGTAAAACTTTAATATCGTTGATTTTCCTTAAAGGGATAGTTTCCTTTATTTATTCCTATATTATTTATTCTTATAAAAGCAGAAGAAGATACTTTAAAAAATGCTGGTTGCTGGCACCCATTGACTCCCATAGTAAATTTTCCTACTATGGAAGTCAATGGATGCCAGACACCAGCACTTTTCAAAATATTGTATTAAATTAAATCTAAAGGCTTTCAAAAAAATTAAAAGTTCATTTTCATTTGAACGATTCCCTTTATAGTCCACTACACCACAAACCTACAACAGTATTTAATGCTGGAACTTAATACTATAGTATGCATTAACAAAGTGTGATATACTATGATATATCAACCCTTACTATTCCCTTTATGGTCCTATTATTTATGATCAATATATACCACACACACAGACTTGTTTCTTTCTCCCAGCGGGGACTTTTACTTTTACCCATGGGGACCATAATTTTGGTTTCCATGGTGACAAGTCCCTATGTGTCTGTGCATTCAGACTTAAGTTTTCTCTTGGAAATAAAACAAGTACACACTTACACACACATACTTATTTTTATATCCCAATGGGGACTCTCATAGATGTAATGATGTGTCTATTATACAAACATATATTCTAACCCCCCCTACCCCAAAACCCAACCCTCACAAGAAAAAAAATCTGCCTTTTTACATTTTTAAAAGCATGTTTACCCATGGGGACCTCGATTTTGGTTTGGTTTCAATGGGGACACAACTTCATATGTTTGTGGGTATTCTGGTTATAGTCCCCTCTTGGAAATAAAACAAATACATACCTATGCTTTACAGAGACTTGTTCATATATCGAAATGGGGACTCCCATAGATGTAATGATGTTTCTATTACACAAACCATATATTCTGACCCAAAACCCAACCCTCACACGAAAAATAAATCTGCCTTATTACATTTTTAAAAGCATGTTTACCCATGGGGACCTCAATTTTGGTTTAATTTCAATGGTGACACAACTTCATATGTGTCTTTGGGTATTCTGGTTATAGTCCGCTCTTGGAAACAAAACAAGTACATACCTCTGCTTGAGCAGGGCCACATCTTCAGCCAGATTATCCCTCTCCACCTGCATCTGGTCTCTGTCTTTCCCCATGAGCTCCAGCTGTCTGCGCAGCTCCCTCATCTCCTGCTGGCACAGATCTCCTAGGCGGCCTGACGGCCCCTGCTGCTGCTCCTTAAACTGACCCAACTCCTGGGTCAACCTGGAGTTCTGCTGCTCCAAATACCGGACCTTCTCGATGAAGCTGGCGAAGCGGTCGTTGAGCTCCTGCAGTTCTCGTTTCTCATTGCTGCGTGTGGCGAGGAACTCCTGATTTACGGCCTCGGCTAGTGAAAAGTCCACTTTGTCATAGGAGAGACGTGGAGCCGGAGCGCTGGAGCGGCTCCTGAAGTCCACAGGACGGGACGGGATGGAGGATGTATAGCGGCCCCCGATGCGACTGGACACTGAAGGAGTACCATAACTGCGGTGGTGAGAGGTGCGGTAGGAGTAGTGGCTCATGGTTGTTGGTTTTTTGGATTTAGCTAGATAGACTTGGTATGCTTCTGGTGTGTCCAGTGGTTTTGCTCAAAAGCTGAGTCACAGCAGGACGGATGTGAGACGGAGGCTTTTATACATGAAGCTGGTCAGTTCAGTGGGAGCTCCACCCAGCCCTGCCCATTCCCAGTCTCCCTGATCTCATCTTCCCTCCATCATTTATCCATATCATCTCTCCCTAGCAAAAGACCAAGCTGGACACTTCCCTGATGCTTTCTACAGTACAGATATGCAAAATATTGCTCCTGTTTGCTGATAATGAAGAGCTTTTAACAAGAATGCATCATGTTAAAAGGATAAATCACCAAAAAATGAACATTTTCTCCTTGTTAATACTCCCTTAAGTGTTTACAGCAGGGGCGTCGCTAGGGAGGGGGTTGAAGTTAAGACGATTGTAATGGCCATACATTTAGGGGGCCCCCAGAGACATTATCAAGGGCCCGTGCGACCCCCCCCCCCCCCCCCCCCCCACACACACACACACCCCTTCACTTTCATCCGAAAACACTCAAACCCCCCCTTCACTTCCATCCGCGATCACCCCACACCCCCGCTCTTCACTTTCATCTGAAATTCCCCGCAATTCGTAACTGTCTGATTTAGTAGCTAATTCGTATGAATTCGTACGATCTAATTTGTTTGTTTGTTTTGTTTGTATACTTTATTGTCCCTCAAGGGGAAATTTTCTGTAGTCTCACCCAGCACTTCAGCAGGTTCTGACACAATAACAATTTAAAAGAATAAGTCAACATGCAAAATAATTACACACACTATTGTTCAGTGTTCAACAGTCTGATTGACACTGGAATAAAAGAGTTCTTAAATCTGTTCTGTTTCCAGCGGAAAGTTCTGTATCGTCTTCCAGAGGGTAAAAGTTCGTGAGATGGGAAGAGTACATGAGATGGGTTACTTAATAATCTTTTAGCTTCATTCAGAGTGCATTGCTCGTAGAGTGTTTGTATACTGGTAAAAGTTTCAGATCCTATTAGTCTTGTAGCAGTTCTGATAATATTGAACATTTTTGATTTCAGATTTACAGAAAGATTGCCATACCATGTAGATAGACCATACCTGATAACCCTTTCAAACATAGCTTGATAAAAATAAGTACATGATTTTCTTATCAACACCATAAAACCATAACCTTCGTAGAAAATACAGTCTTTGGTGAAGCTTTTCACAGATCCAGTTTACGTGAGTGTCCCATGTTAGAGACCGGTCTATGTGAATTCCCAAATACTTGTATGACTGTACCTGAGTGATTTCTTGATTATGTACAAACACTGGTAAATGCTCGACAACACACTTGGAATCAAAAATTATTTCCTTAGTTTTTTTTGTATTTACTTTTAAAAAGTACAATTAAGTACGATTTGCTCATCACCCAATGACTGTTGGGGTTAGGGGTGGGGTTAAGTGCCACGCCTTCTTTTTAAAATTGTACATTTTCGTACGCCTGAACTAGCCACTAAACTGACAAAACGTAAAATACTTAAGTTTCCTCGTGAGATCAGGCTGGATTTATGTGTTTTTGGCAATTCATAAAAATTTAATGATAAACTGGTCAAATATGCCAATAAATAATACCTTTCCTGCTCGTTAATCAACCTGCTGTCTGCTAATAAAGAGATTTAATTGTAGTTCAGTGAATGTGCAGATTCATTCTGCATGATAGGCAGAACAACATTGATTATTTTGCACATCATGTATTTGCTTCACTGCTAAGTGTATGCTACATTATTAATTCATACATTTGTGTCTTTCCTTGGTCAATAAATACCATTAAAGATCAGGAAGTTTATCAAATTACATATTTTCTTCAAACACCTGGCATCTATAAAATAAGGATTTTGTTTGCATACAGCTATATAATATAAACATACAGTTATTTTGGCGATATTGTGTCTCAGTGGTTAGCACTGTCGCCTCACAGCAAAAGGATCGCTGGTTCGAGTCCCCGCTGGGCCAGTTGGCATTTCTGTGTGGAGCTTGCATGTTTTTCCAAATCCGGTATAGGCGTGGGGTTCCTCCGGGTGCTTCAGTTTCTGACACAGTCCAAGACATCCTCTATAGGTGAATTGAATAAACTAAATTGACTGTGATGTACGAGTGTAAAAAAGTGTGTATGTGTGTTTCCCAATACTGGGTTGCAGCTGGAAGGGCATCCGCTGTGTAAAACATATTCTGGATACATTGGCGGTTCATTCCGCTGTGGCGACCACTGATTAATAAAGAAAGCTGAAGGAAAATGAATGAATTAATGTTTAAATGATCAATTATTAAATTTAACAACATGTGAAAAAAAGAAAAAGGCAAACTGATTTATTTACTGGTTCATTTTATTGAGTACTTTACACCAAAATAGGCACAGTAATATTCACAATTAGCTTTTGCGGTCACTTTATTTGAATGTACAATTCACGCTATTAACAAACCATTAACTAAGACTTACAGCTCAATAAACTACTAATTAGCTGCTTATTAATAGTTAGTATGTTAGTAGTTGGATTTAGGTATTGGCTGGGATTAGGGGTTAAATAAGATCACACTTTATAACAGTTAATATCTTATTAATAAGCAGGTACTAAGCCAGTAATTAATAGTGTGAATTGTTACTCAAACTAAAGTGTTACCGCTTTTGCTATATGTTGATCAGGGACAAACACAACCATTACATCACTTGGCATTTTCTTCAGCTAGCGAAGCAATCTGTCAAGAGGCTACCAGCTATTTGTTTTTATTTAGGGTTCCCACGCTTTCATGAACAGCAGATTTAAAGTCTTTCAAGGACTTCTTAATTTTAAATCAAGCACCTTTAATAATTCATACCCCTGCATACCTGTCAACCCCCTCCATTTTTGCTGGGATTCTCCTCTATTTTACCATTATATCCCGCACATTTCCCCATATTTTTATTTTTTCTATATATGAAAACCTAAAGTAGCATCAGAGAGGAGGTCTCAAATGGGATTTAATGGCAAGAGCTGTTAAAGAGAATTATACTTTCTCTTTATATTGGCTTGAAAGCACGTTGAAATTAATACTAAATTAGCTGCATTTACTTTATTTCCATTAAAGCTCTGCGTTGACCATTGCCCTTCATATGCAACCTCTGAATCAATAACGGTGTCTAGTGCTGACTGACAGACGCGCTCCCTAATAATAAAGACACTGTTCCCAGATCAGCTACTGTACATGCGATTTGAAAAGGAGTGAAAGTGGACACTGGTATTTGGCTGTTTTTAAACAATGAGTTAAATGAGTTTTGATTACAAATGTAATCACATGCTTTCATTATAGATCTGTGGATTCTTAAAGTGACAGTGATCAAAATGAGACATTCGCTGCTCAATACTAAATAACTAGAGTAACTTTAATCAATATTTGTAAATATTGATTTTAATAGGCTAAACCTTTTATTTTATTTTTAGTTTTCTAATGTTTGCTATGTATTCTATCATTTGGATTTGAAGCATTACGGATCCCGTATTTTTATCCCAATGTTGACAGATATGGCCAGCATATGTAGCACCAGTAGTCTGTGGTGTACTTAACATTTCACTTACACTTAATATTTACATTAAAACTCAATTAATTAATTAGGTAATTTCCAAACATTTTTACCGTTTTAAACAGTCGTGTTTAAAGAAATTTGATCAAATTTGTTCAATTCGATACTGTGAAATACAGTTCAAATGTGCATTATTTGTCAGTGTTATTGTACAAGTGTTAAATTTAGGATTAAAAATTTCTCAGTTTCTTTCATTCTGCTTTTGACAATTAAGTAAAATTTTTCGAAATAAAATTAATTCAAGCACTTGTTAAGGACCTGTGTTTGTTTTTAAGGTCTTTCCACGCCTTGAATCCATGTGTCTGAAAATCAAGCACTTTTAAAGGTCCCGTGAAGTGCTTTGAATTTTTTATTCGATGTTTGACAATCTTAACCAAAAGTAGCTCCTCTGATTTTTTTTAAAAACAGCCAATAGCATTTTGTTTTATCACAGCTCTGCCAGTGAGAGTGTTTAAGCTCAAGTGCATCAAATGAAAAGCAAATGAGAAGAAGGGGGTGGGGCATGTCAGATTCTTAAGAGCATTTTATTGGTCAGAAGATTTAAGGAACTGAAGCATGAGGCGATGTCAGAATAAATCCTTAATCCATTTGGGTGAAAGTGACAAACACCAAGTTTTACCTGTTTATATTGTTTTTTTATAATCACAAATTTTGGAGCGCACTAGCCTATAAATATCCCTAAAATTAACAATACTGTTACTAACATCTAAAAAAAACGTTCTTTTTAATTTCAATGAGACCTTCAAGAAGCGTGGGAACCCTGTTTATTCCACAGAGAAGTGGACCAAATCTAATACTCCTCACCTTCCTCTTCTCCTTCTCCTTCCACTGAATCTACACCGACTTCCTCGTAATCTTTCTCCAAAGCAGCCATGTCCTCTCTGGCCTCCGAGAACTCGCCCTCCTCCATTCCTTCACCTACGTACCAGTGCACAAAGGCACGTTTAGCATACATCAGGTCAAACTTGTGATCAAGCCTAGCCCAGGCTTCGGCAATAGCAGTGGTGTTGCTCAACATGCAGACGGCACGCTGAACTCTTGCCAAATCTCCACCCGGGACAACAGTGGGAGGCTGATAATTGATGCCAACCTTGAAACCAGTCGGACACCAGTCCACAAATTGAATACTGCGCTTGGTCTTGATTGCGGCGATAGCAACATTTACATCTTTGGGTACGACATCTCCGCGGTACAGAAGACAGCAGGCCATGTATTTACCATGGCGCGGGTCACATTTCACCATCTGATTAGCCGGCTCAAAGCATGCATTAGTGATCTCAGACACTGAAAGCTGCTCGTGGCATGCTTTCTCAGCAGAAATCACTGGAGCATACGTCGCCAGTGGGAAATGAATACGTGGATATGGCACCAAGTTGGTCTGGAACTCTGTGAGGTCAACATTGAGCGCGCCATCGAATCTCAAGGAAGCTGTGATTGAAGACACGATTTGGCTTATTAGCCTGTTGAGGTTGGTGTATGTTGGGCGGTCGATGTCCAGGTTTCTGCGGCAGATGTCGTAGATGGCCTCGTTGTCCACCATGAAAGCACAGTCCGAGTGCTCCAGGGTGGTGTGGGTGGTGAGGATGGAGTTGTAGGGCTCCACCACTGCTGTAGACACCTGCGGAGCCGGATAGATGGAGAACTCCAGCTTGGATTTCTTGCCATAGTCGACAGAGAGGCGCTCCATCAGTAAAGAGGTGAAGCCGGAACCGGTTCCTCCTCCAAAGCTGTGGAAAACCAAGAAGCCTTGGAGTCCAGTGCACTGGTCGGCCTTTGAAGAACAGAGAACGGAAGTAATGTATATGAATCACATAAGTCACGATGTAAACAAAAATACAGTAATTAGACTTGAAGGGGTGTTCATAAAACTGTCACGAGACCTTTATAATCATGACATGAATAGTTACGTAATTGTAAATACAAAGGTAAGATTGCTTGAGATAACTTTGTTATGACAACTTGACATTACCAAGACAACATAACTGGGTACATGATTGTTGTGAAGCTATTATAATTGTGTCATTAATTTTATAACAGCATCAAAAATATTTTTTTTTCAACTACAGGGATTCAAATTGAATTCGGCAAACTTAAAGTTATTACAGCTAAAATACTCTTAAAAATACAAGGCCTGTCTTAAATTATGTCTCGGATTGTAATTAAAGTCAAAGCAGCTTAATATAAAAGTTCTGGTAAATTTTTTAGAGTTTCAATTTCACTGCTGAAAGTCCAAACATTAAAAAGCAAATGCATTGATGCACAGCTTCACAAGTCCCAAATCAAGCAAGCCAGTGGTGAACAACAAACTTTACCAGTCTACGAAAATGAAGGAAAAAACCTTGAGAAATCAGGCTCAGTTGGGCCAATCACCTTTGATTTTGTTTACTGGTCCTCAAAATACCGGCCTGTCACGCAACCATCCCTGTGCATCATTCATTCTCAAACATCTTTAAAAGTTCTTACCAGTTTGCGAATCCTGTCAAGAACGAGATCGATGATTTCTTTTCCGATAGTGTAATGGCCGCGGGCATAGTTGTTTGCTGCATCCTCCTTTCCAGTGATCAGCTGCTCAGGGTGGAAAAGTTGGCTGTAAGTTCCAGTGCGAACCTCATCTGAACCACAGAAAAGAAAGAGAAATGAGCCGATGAGAATTACTCATGGACTAACTATAAAAGACTGCAAAAGATAACCATCTAAAATAAGAAATAAATAAATAATTTAAGAAGATACAGATCAGAAACAAGTCGTATCGTCTGCCAGTGAAGTAAGATAATTATACTTATTCAGATTTCTTGAAAAAAAAGGCCTGACACTACAAAATAATGTTTTTCTTACTAAGATTTTCTGTCTTGTTTCTAATCCAAATATCTAAAACTTCTTAAATCAAGTGGAATTTTCTAGACAAGCAAAGAATATTGTGTTCTTTTAAGAAATAATGTCAAAATTAAATGAGTTTTTCCTTAAAACAGGCAAAAGGATCTGCCTATGGGATAAGGAAAACAATATTTCAGCAATGTCAAAAGAAAAAAAGATTATTTAACTTACCCCAATGGCAGATTATTTTGCTCGTTTTAAAGGAAAACTCACTTAATATTGGCATATTATTTCTGAAAACAAGAATTATGTTTTGATTGCCGTCTTGATATAAGAATTTTTAGATATTTGGACTAAAAACAAGACAAAAAATCTAACTAAGAAAAGCATTTTTGCAGCTTACAGCTAAAATAAGAATAACTGATTTATTGAGCATTTTTAATAGGCAAAGTCTTTAAAATACAGGCCTGTCTTAAATAATGTCTCTGATTCTGATTAAGCTAAATTGGCACATTATTTTTCAAAACATGACCATATTGTTTTACATGTCTAGAAAACGCTTCGTGATTTAAAGATTTTGAGATATTTAGACTAGAAACAAAACAAAAACTCATTAATTTTGAGTTTTTGCAATGTGCTCATCAGACGAGTATACTGACCAATCACAGTGGGCTCCAGATCGACGAACACAGCTCTTGGCACATGTTTGCCCGCTCCGGTCTCGCTGAAGAAAGTGTTGAAGGAATCGTCTCCTCCGCCAACCGTCTTATCGCTGGGCATCTGTCCATCCGGCTGGATCCCATGCTCAAGACAGTAAAGTTCCCAGCAGGCATTGCCGATCTGGACACCAGCTTGACCCACATGGATGGAGATACACTCACGCTTTTGCACAAAAATAAAGTGAGTGATCATTTACAATAGTGAGGGATGTTGAAGCTTTAATGTATTAAATCTGATGTATTTTCCTCACAAAACACCAGGACTTGATATTTATTAAACCACATAACACTCTGATTTTCAAGGTTAACATTAACATAATAAATAATTTACATAAACAATCTGTTTATCTAGCTGTGAACTATGACATCCAGATGATTTCAATACAAAAATAAAGTCACGCTTCTCAATAAGGTTTATGTCAGTTCATTTATATCCATGAACAAGAAATGAACAATACCTATACAGCATTCCTTAATTATAGTTAACATTTACAAATGTGTTATTAAATCCAAATTTGTGCTTGATAACATTACAATAATAACAATAACGCTTGATAACGTGACAATGAGCAAATTTTTTTCAATTACATGAAAAATACTGTAATAATTGTGTTGTTCGCTGTTTCTTCAAGTCAGCGAATACATTAACTAACGAAATCTTATTGTATTAGTCACTTTATAATTTATAGAACAGAAAATATGAACAAAAAAGCTTCTCAGACCCCGAATAAAAATACTATAGTAATTTTTTTTTACACTGTAGTGTTTCTATATCACATTATAGTTAAATACTTGAATTAATCTGTTGTGGTAAAACAACAACTATAGTAGACTAATATAACTTTAAACAAATGACCCCTACGATTTCTACAACATGCCAATACCACAGTAAAATCCTATACTACAGTATTTATTACAGTTAATACCACAGTATCCTGTGAAATTCATTAATAGAGAGTTGTAAATGCTGTAATATACATGGTTTAATACACGGTGTGGTTCAAAAACCCTTTAGTAGGTCATTTACATTGAAGTAGCCTACTATAGAGTAGTATGTTTATCTTTCAAGCAATAACCAGCAATGTTAGATTTTGTTTAAGAGTAAAAAAACAAAATAATATCATTCTAAGACAGTAATTAAATGAGAAATATAAAATAATTTAATTTTTCCTAAAAAATCAGCAGGACTTTAGTGCTATTAAACCACATAACAGTCTAATCAAATGTCTACGCCATTTTGTGATTAACAATAACATAGTAAACAATTTTTACATAACTATCTGTTTATCCAGGAGTAAATGACAGCATCCCGATGAATTCAATACAAAAATAAGGTCACGCTTCTCAATAAGGTTTATGTCAGTTCATGTATATCCATGAACCAGAAATGAACAATACCTATACAGCATTCCTTAATTATAGTTTAACATTTACAAATGTGTTATTAAATCCAAATTTGTGCTTGATAACATTACAATAATAACCATAACACTTGATAAAGTAGCAATGAACAAATGTATTTTCAATAACATTAACATAGATACAGTAATAATTGTATATTGTTCGCCATTTCATGATATCAGCAAATACATTAACTAACGAAATCTTATTGTATTAGTCACTTTATAATTTATAGAACAGAAAATATAAACAAAAAGCTTCTCTGACCCCAAATAAAAATACTATAGTAATTTATAGTAAACACTGTAGTGTTTATGAACCACATATGGTAAAATACCTGAATTAATCTGTTGTGGTAATACAGCAACTATAGTAGACTAATTTAACGTTAAACAATGACCCCTAAGATACTACATAGCAAATAACATACACAGCAGCTGATACCACTGTAAAATCCTACAGTACAGTAATTATTACAGTTAATATCACGGTATCCTGTAGAATGTATTAATAGAGAGTTGTGAATACTGTAATATTTACAGTTTAATACACAATGGTTTAACCCTTTGGGCTATTTTTCCCTTGTAGCAATAACCAGCAGCTTTGATTTCAGTGGAAAAAGCTAAAATAATATCATTCTAAGACAGTAATTAAATGAGAAATATAAGTATGTACTCACCATTTTGCGGTTTTGCACAGATGTAGGTGTGCAGATGCACTATTCAGAGAAGATGGAGGATGAGACGTCGCTATGAGGAGGAAAAAAGAGACTGCAGGAGGGAGGGAGTGGCTCAGTTCAGCATCAAATACACAGACTAGACATTTTGTGATTCTATCTAGAACATTCTGGATCAAGATAAAATAAAATAAAATAAAAAACGAGTAAATAAATAAAGCGTTTTATTAGCTAACATAACTAGCCTACGTGTATGCTAATAATGCGCTAATATGAGATCTTTTAAGCACGACGTTTATTCGTGGCTGTAATATGGACTAAACACTTACATATCATCCCCACAGCAAATATAATACATCATAGTTTCATCAGTGCAGTTTTATTATTATAGCCAGTGTAGTTTTGAAAAATATACTGTACGCAGCTCGTAATGTGACATACGGACAGACTTGTGTTTACAATAGTATATATAATATTTCTAAAGCATAGTAAGGCTGCCAAGTTGCCAACTCAGTTTTTTCAACTAAACAAATTGATAAATTATAACAATAAAATCATCATGAGCAGAGCCGCCGCCCTCACGTGACAGATTCTGCAGCAGAAGCTATATGACGTCATGGTGCAGACTGCAAAGTCACTGTATTTATAAAAACGACAGTATTTAACATTTATTCATTCATTCATTTTCTTTTCGGCTTGGTCCTTTTAGTACTCGGGTCGCTACAGCTGAATAAACTACCAACTTATACATATGTTTTACGCAGTGGATGCCCTCCAGCGGCAACACATCACTGGGAAACACCCACTCAATTACACACATACACTACAAACAATAGCTTTCCAAATTCACCTATAGCGCATGTGTTTGGACTGTGGGGGGTAACCCACGCCAACTCCTCAAAGAAATGCCAACTGACTGAGGATCGAACCAGCGACCTTCTTGCTGTGAGGCGAACGAATTACGTGAACGTTTTGAAGTGGTGGCTCTTGCGATTTTTGTGGTATTGTTAAAGAATCTTGTTCATTTGTTTTTGATTTTTTTTTCAGTGTACTCAAGATTATTTCGGATTATTTAAGTTTATTTTAAGGACATTTAGTACACTAATATAAATTAGATTATATGATGTCATATTTGCTTTAGTACAACATGGAATTTATTTAAAAAGTACAACTTATTTTCTTATACAGCTAACAATATTGCTTGAAAAATACCATATTCATGTCAAGAAATGGGCTAAAGCTAAGCCAAATTGTGAACATTTTATAAAGTAGATTAAACAAAAGGGTACTAAACAGTGTTAACCGTCTTACACTGTGAGTCTGTCTTAAAATGTCTTAAATTTCAAAAACAAAACTTTAGGCCTTAAATTTACTGAAATTTTGTGTTGTAGGGCTTAAATAGTTTTAAACGGGTCTTAATTTTCCTCTGAGCAAAGTTACCCAATCATGCTGACCAATCACCAATAATCCAATCTGAATAAATTTAATAAATAAATAAAAAAGTCAAATATTAAACTTTTTATATCAATATTGTATAATTATCTTTCTTACAATAACCTTTATTTGCTTAAATTTAGTTTATTTTAGTTTTGTAAATATTAACTGGATTGCGCTTGGTTTGACATTTAAAATAAGTGGTTAAGATATAACTAAATTAAAAGTTTCGATGAGGCAAGTTAAAATCAACCCATGCCATTAGAAAAAATCCTTAAGTGTTTAGCCCTATATATTTTCTTCGTAATGGTCTTAAAAGTCTTAAATTTGACTTTGTGAAACCTGCTGAAACCCTGTGTAATTTTCTGCAAGTTTCCTCTACCCAACAACTCACTTCAAAGCTACAAACATGCAAATATACGTCTGACTGTCTGAGTGTCTATTTTATAGCTGACTATAATATGCATGTTTTTTCCACATAAACAAGTATGTTCACTCTTAAACATCTGCAAAGCTGGTATGTTTATTATTTAGAAGGGACAAAAACTTACAGTGCACCTTCAATGACAAAAAACCAAGACCAAAATTGTATTCAAAACCTTTTGTTTTACTTCAAAGCAGTGATTCACTTAGGAATATCAATATAAATGATTGCTTTTACAATACATTGCATAATACTGAACGCTAAAATAACTACAATTATTCCAATGTTTTTAAACCAAATCAACATTCAAAAGTCATTCCTTGGGTATTGGGGAAAAAAAATGACACTAACATTTCATTTTAGTATGGGAAAACTTCATTTGTGGTGCGGCACACTTAAATAAAACCACCTAAGATAACTCAGCACACTTGTTTATTTTCCACAGTATTGTACTCAAGACAGTGTAGTGTAGATTTACATTCAGTGACACTTTTTAATATGTAAATTACCATTGAGGTTCTGTTTATTTCAAGAGTTTACACTTAGATATTGCTTATTGATATTAATAGCAGGTTTGGCATGCTGTCCCTGGAGTAAAATTGAGCCCAGGGCTAAGGTAGTTCTTGAGAGCGACTTTATTTTATGTGGCTATTATTTGGTCAATTCCTAATTGGTAAAATGCCTGATCCTTTTAATTGTGAATGTTTAAATTTTATGTAGTGTTGGTATGTCATTTTTATTGACTTGTCGCTGAAAAACTAGTTTGATGGGGGAAATTTACAAAAACAAAAGCAGGGTGTGTGATGTATTTTCGATTAATCGCCCTACTTATGAGCAAGAACTACAACACAAATGAAACAGTATCATCCTTCAAATATTTATGTTTTCATGTTGAAATGTAACTACCACTCGGGTTTTGTGCGTAAAGTCAAGCTCAAAGCAACCTACAAGCTAAAAACCTTCGAATTTACTTCAAGCAAATAAAAATATGTAGTCCCACTGTAAAGTGGCTTCACTAATATGTACTTACACTGAAATTAATAATTTACAATGCACTTATGTAAATGCATGTACATCTGTAATTACATTCGTAATCAAATTTTTCACCATCCCTGACACCTTAACCCACTCTTAAACCTACCCATACCACCAAACATGTCCCTAACCCTACCTATATCCCACCTCAAGAGCACCAGAAGTGTCCCGGAATACATCATGAACAGAGTAAGTACATTGCATTTATTTATTTTTTTAATGCAAGTACATTAAGGCCACCTAATAAAAAAATGGGAGCAAAAATGTTTTATTTTCAGAATAAGAAGTAAAAAGTTGTACTTAAAACAAGCAAAATAATCTGTTTTTATTTTATTCCAAAAACAAGATTATTTTGCTGACCCCATTGACAGATTATTTTGTTTGTTTTAAGAAAAAACTCACTTAATTTGCCTCAATATTTCTGAAAACAAAACAATTAGCTTCACTTGTCTAGAAAATGCTTCTTGATTTAGGGATTTTAGATATTTGGACTAGAAACAAGACAAAATCATTTGTGCATTGCAACAAAATCCCAGCTATTCAAGGCTATTTTTGGTCATCTTTTACCTTGACCTTTACTCGATGCCATGCATTGCTAAGTACTCCTCGTAGATTCCAAATAGGGCCGACTGTGTCAGGCTGCGTGTTATAACTATTGTCCACAGCTTTGCATACAATCTCCAACTCCTGCGCTCCATCAGGCAGCGGGACGTCAATCTCCCACAACTTCCAAGCCCAAGCTCTTCCAGGAGCAGGATTTCGTCCCAAATCACTACTGTGAAGTTTAGCAACATGCCATGTGTTCCCTCCATCAACCGAGACATCAACTCTAACAACCTCTCGTCCTCCTCCACTCCATGCGTAGCCTTTAATAGTCACCTCCTCATCTCCACGCTCCACTGATGATCCCTCAGCAGGATGCGTGATTGCCGACTGTATAGGGAGCTCTTGAATAGCCGGGGCTGATTTGAAGTCCACCGTGTCCCAGTCGGTACCAGGAGAGAAGCCTTTGTAATCATTCTGCTGCCAGTGACTCTTGCTTTCTTCGTGGCTTACTACAATTCTACCGAGCCATTTGACATTTCGTGCTCCGACAACTCCAGGTACGACCACTCTTACTGGATACCCGTGATCCGGCGGAAGATCTTCTCCATTCATCTCATATGCAAGAAGAACATCTCCTTCTTCGCTTAGTGCTTTGTTGAGATTAATCGAAGCACCGTATGCTGTTCCTGTCACATCCTTGTCTAATCCTTCAAACTGGATATGCTTGGCGTTGATTGCGACTTCTGGTGTAAACCCGTAGTGAAGGAGTACCTCCCTTAGACTTGCACCTGACCATGTTGCGTTGCTTATTGCAGCAATTCCCCAATTGAGTCCTTTGACTTGTTTGACTTTATTCATCTCGGATCGACGGTTCCCAGCGCATTGGAGAGTTGCTGTAATTGTATGTTTTGGAAAACGAGATTTCAACTCGCTTAGTGTAACAGACACAACTCCACCAGGGAGACCCTCGATCTCTAGTCTGTAGGTTTCAGGGTCTACCTTTGGCACCGGAAGATGGTTGCGCTTAAAAAAGATGGCTGACGGCGTGATGTAGTTATCAGCAAGTACAGAAGCAGGTGGTTCGGCGTTGAAAGGTTTTAAACTGTTGATCTGAAGAGCGGGGTGGCGACTGGGCTCACCAGAGTAAGGGTCTAAAGGGTCAGTGCTTTCCTGCCTCTTGATGCTTTCTGGATTAAGAACACCGATTTTGTACTCGGAGAGGATTTCTAGGACGTGCTCTTCCTTGTGGACCGCATATAAAGCCCAGTAGGGCTCAAGAGCGCCTCCTGCAGCCAGGAGTATTTTATCGCCGCCGGGATGCATAGCCACAAACTCTGTAATGTCGTAGACGTCTCCTTTATAAGTGACCCAAACACCATTGTCAAGGGAACGGTGCTTTGTGACTTCTTCAAGGGTGTAAACAGGAGGAGATGAAGTTACTGGTAACTGGGCTGAGGAAGCTGCCCACTGAACCTGAATACAAAATGACAATAAAATAAGTGTCTATAGAGCTTTTAATAATACTTTTTAAAATATGAATTGATATATAAAACAATGAAAGGGAAAGTTCAACCAAACAGGAACATTCTGTCATAATTTGCGCATCCTTTAGCTGTTTTATACATTTACAAGTTTTTTTCC